TCTGACCGAGGTTGATTGGGTAATTGTAGAAGAACCTTGCTGGATGGTGAAATCGTGCTGTAGAGTTGGAGTGGCAGGGAAGACGAGAAGCTCAGTCCTTGCCAGGTTGAGGATTATAAGGTAGAGAGTGAGACAGGCAGAGAGATAGTGAGGTAGAGAGCGAGACAAGCAGAGATTGTGAGGTAGAGAGTGAGACAAGTAGAAATTGTGAGGTAGAGAGTGAAACAAGCAGCAATTATAAGGTAGAGAGTGAGACAGGCAGAGAGATAGTGAGGTAGAGAGTGAGACAAGCAGAGATTGTGAGGTAGAGAGTGAGACAGGCAGAGAGATAGTGAGGTAGAGATTGAGACAAGAAGAGATTATGAGGTAGAGAGTGAGACAGGCAGAGTGATAGTGGGGTAGAGAGTGTGACAAGAAGAGATGGTGAGATAGAGAGTGAGACAGACAGAGATTGTGAGGGAGAGAGTGAGACAAGCAGAGGTTGTGAGGGAGAGAGTGAGACAAGCAGAGGTTGTGAGGGAGAGAGTGAGACAAGCAGAGGTTGTGAGGGAGAGAGTGAGACAAGCAGAGGTTGTGAGGGAGAGAGTGAGACAAGCAGAGGTTGTGAGGGAGAGAGTGAGACAAGCAGAGGTTGTGAGGTAGAGAGTGAGACAAGCAGAGATTGTGAGGTAGAGAGTGAGACAGGCAGAGAGATAGTGAGGTAGAGATTGAGACAAGAAGAGATTATGAGGTAGAGAGTGAGACAGGCAGAGTGATAGTGGGGTAGAGAGTGTGACAAGAAGAGATGGTGAGATAGAGAGTGAGACAGACAGAGATTGTGAGGTAGAGAGTGAGACAAGCAGAGGTTGTGAGGTAGAGAGTGAGACAAGCAGAGATTGCGAGGTAGAGTGAGACAGGCTGAGAGACTGTGAGGTAGAGAGTGAGACAAGCAGAGATTTTGAGGTAGAGTGAGACAAGCAGAGATTATGAGGTAGAGAGTGAGACAGGCAGAGAGATAGTGAGGTAGAGAGTGAGACAGGCAGAGAGATAGTGAGGTAGAGAGTGAGACAGAGAGATAGTGAGGTATAGATTGAGACAAGCAGAGATTATGAGGTAGAGAGTGAGACAGGCAGAGTGATAGTGGGGTAGAGAGTGAGACAAGCAGAGATGGTGAGATAGTGAGTGAGACAGACAGAGATTGTGAGGTAGAGAGTGAGACAAGCAGAGATTGTGAGGGAGAGTGAGACAAGCAGAGATTATGAGGTAGAGAGTGAGACAGGCAGAGAGATAGTGAGGTAGAGAGTGAGACAGAGAGATAGTGAGGTATAGATTGAGACAAGCAGAGATTATGAGGTAGAGAGTGAGTCAGGCTGAGAGATTGTGAGGTAGAGAGTGAGACAAGCAGAGATTGGGAAGTAGAGTGAGACAAGCATAGATTATTAGGTAGAGAGTGAGACAGGCAGAGAGATAGTGAGGTAGAGTGAGACAGACAGAGAGATAGTGAGGTAGAGAGTGAGACAGACAAAGAGATTGTGAGGTAGAGTGAGACAAGCAGAAAGATTGTGAGAGAGACCAAAGATGTCTCCAATGTTATCTGAAACTCAACAGAGTACAAGAAGAGTAGAAGAATAGAGTGAGACAGACAGGGAGCAAGAAATACTGGCAGAGAGAATGAGACACACAGTGAGATAGAAAGAGTTAGACAAGCAGACCAATTGAGACAGACAAAAAGAATGAGACCGAGAGAGTGAGACAGACAAAAAAGTAAGACAGGCATCAACAAGCACCAGACAGACAGAGAGTACGCATATCTACTTGAGTGTAATAGTGTGTGCACATCTGTACTATGGATTAGCAAGCTAGTGTAAGAATGAAGCAGTAAAGGAATGCACAAAGGAGGCCATACTTGAGAGTAAGACGGCACCTCCATATGAACCTCCTCCTGTGGCTGCCATCTCTGATGACTCACAATCTTGCACAATCTCAGCCCATCTTTACCGCCACTATGAAGAACAGACGACGCAGACACACTAGTGAGGTAGAGAGTGAGACAGGCAGAGAGATAGTGAGGTAGAGAGTGAGACAGAGAGATAGTGAGGTATAGATTGAGACAAGCAGAGATTATGAGGTAGAGAGTGAGACAGGCAGAGTGATAGTGGGGTAGAGAGTGAGACAAGCAGAGATGGTGAGATAGTGAGTGAGACAGACAGAGATTGTGAGGTAGAGAGTGAGACAAGCAGAGATTGGGAGGTAGAGTGAGACAAGCATAGATTATTAGGTAGAGAGTGAGACAGGCAGAGAGATAGTGAGGTAGAGTGAGACAGACAGAGAGATAGTGAGGTAGAGAGTGAGACAGACAAAGAGATTGTGAGGTAGAGTGAGACAAGCAGAAAGATTGTGAGAGAGACCAAAGATGTCTCCAATGTTATCTGAAACTCAACAGAGTACAAGAAGAGTAGAAGAATAGAGTGAGACAGACAGGGAGCAAGAAATACTGGCAGAGAGAATGAGACACACAGTGAGATAGAAAGAGTTAGACAAGCAGACCAATTGAGACAGACAAAAAGAATGAGACCGAGAGAGTGAGACAGACAAAAAAGTAAGACAGGCATCAACAAGCACCAGACAGACAGAGAGTACGCATATCTACTTGAGTGTAATAGTGTGTGCACATCTGTACTATGGATTAGCAAGCTAGTGTAAGAATGAAGCAGTAAAGGAATGCACAAAGGAGGCCATACTTGAGAGTAAGACGGCACCTCCATATGAACCTCCTCCTGTGGCTGCCATCTCTGATGACTCACAATCTTGCACAATCTCAGCCCATCTTTACCGCCACTATGAAGAACAGACGACGCAGACACACAAGCGCGAGAGATAAAGCACAAGATCCTGCAATCAGTCCGAGACTCTGTGTTACAAAGAGCGTCCTCTCTCCCGCATTTCCTGCGGCACCTCTGGAGTTCAGCAGACTAAGCGCTCGTGAGATAGTGAGTGAGACAGACAGAGATTGTGAGGTAGAGAGTGAGACAAGCTGATATTGTGAGGTAGAGTGAGACAAGCAGAGATTGTGAGGTAGAGTGAGACAGGCTGAGAGACTGTGAGGTAGAGAGTGAGACAAGCAGAGATTGGGAAGTAGAGTGAGACAAGCATAGATTATTAGGTAGAGAGTGAGACAGGCAGAGAGATAGTGAGGTAGAGTGAGACAGACAGAGAGATAGTGAGGTAGAGAGTGAGACAGACAAAGAGATTGTGAGGTAGAGTGAGACAAGCAGAAAGATTGTGAGAGAGACCAAAGATGTCTCCAATGTTATCTGAAACTCAACAGAGTACAAGAAGAGTAGAAGAATAGAGTGAGACAGACAGGGAGCAAGAAATACTGGCAGAGAGAATGAGACACACAGTGAGAGAGAAAGAGTTAGACAAGCAGACCAATTGAGACAGACAAAAAGAATGAGACCGAGAGAGTGAGACAGACAAAAAAGTAAGACAGGCATCAACAAGCACCAGACAGACAGAGAGTATGCATATCTACTTGAGTGTAATAGTGTGTGCACATCTGTACTATGGATTAGCAAGCTAGTGTAAGAATGAAGCAGTAAAGGAATGCACAAAGGAGGCCATACTTGAGAGTAAGACGGCACCTCCATATGAACCTCCTCCTGTGGCTGCCATCTCTGATGACTCACAATCTTGCACAATCTCAGCCCATCTTTACCGCCACTATGAAGAACAGACGACGCAGACACACAAGCGCGAGAGATAAAGCACAAGATCCTGCAATCAGTCCGAGACTCTGTGTTACAAAGAGCGTCCTCTCTCCCGCATTTCCTGCGGCACCTCTGGAGTTCAGCAGACTAAGCGCTCCTCTCTCTTCTGCTTGCGATAAAAGTTTCTTGGCAGAACTAGAAAGGACACGGGTCGGGAAGAGATTCAGCTGACAAACTGCACACAGGCCTCGGAGCGAACAGACCAAAATAAGCTTCACAGGCATGAAGAAGAAACAGCAGCCCCGCAATACAAAGAGGAAAGACAGAGCAAGATTGTTGCTGAATCATGCCAGCTCGACATGAAAGCTCTGAATGCTGTCAAGATTCGGCTGTTTTTCTGCCTGCGCATTTGTTAACTTTTTTAACCTGTTGAGGTGCGAGTAATTCCGACAGACGTGGGTCTCCCTGCCTGCTTCTCTTTCTGTCTCAGTCTTTAGAAGCGCGTCTACATAATTTCCTCAGGGCTCCAGTGATTGAATGACTGAAATAAAACGCACACACTGTTAAACTGATTTTGTTTAAGTACCAATTAGATCTGTCACCCAGTTCCTATAATCTACTCACAGAAAATCATTTTGTGGTACTTTCTATGAAGGCTGAATATATTACATTACGCGCTGTATTGTATTATCATAAATACACAAAATAAAGATTAGTTTTACAAGAAAATACTATTTCAGTCTTTCAACTTCAAAATTTCACATTCAATGCAATGTGTTACTTGATGTTTCTTTGTAAATAATTGTGAAATTTACTAGCAATTTCTGATTAGCAGAAATGCAAATTTTTTAGCATTTCTGCTATTGGGAGGATTGCATGTGAGAGACCCTGAGACTAGTTTTATGCACACACACTTGCCACTGTGACATATATCAGACTGAGGATCAAATGCAAGAGTCCTATGAGCGACAGATGGCTTCTCCGTCAGTCAACATCAATCAGTCATGCAATCAATAAAAATGACTAGGCTGTCTGTGATTATTTTTTTCAGGGACAAAATAAACTACTTTATCTTGCGGCCTCTCCCTGTCTGTACCAGGTTTAACAGATCAATATCCTACATTTAAGATGCAGCATTTTGTTTAATTTAAAATCATTTGTGCTCTTACCACGAAGCAGCAGTACAGAGTCGCCTTTGCAAAGTCCTCAAGCGTTTCATTTTCTGGCTACCTTTCTCTTCCCATATACCTGCACTGTTTACACTATTTCTTTCTTTCTCTGTCTCTCTCTATTGCTCTCTTTCTCTCTCAGCCATGAATCTGTTGGGGCTGAACTGGCAGCTGAAACCTGTGGTTGGTCCCATGCTGAACAACGGCTTGGGAGCCGGGCTGCCCAGCAACAGTGACGTAGCAACAGCGCCCTCTGGAGGCAGAGGTGAGCAGCACGCTGCAGTCCCGCACGCTCTTTTCGATAAGGATGTCAGGATTGTAACAGAATAACACAAAGGGGGGGAAAAACCTATAAACTACATTCAGAAAAAAAAATCAGTTGTGCTGAAACCTCCATTGCCCTGTATATCAATTTGTTTCCAGCTTGTACTCATTTTGATTTGTGTTTAGTAATTTGCTTCTCTGTCGCACACCGAGTTCCCATCATGACAGCACATTTATGCCCACACACACTTCTTTGCCTGCTTCCACGATCGACAAGGGACATTATTCTCTAGGCTTCATTTCTGTAGCCGTCTGACAAGTCATAAGAAACCAAGTAACCATGTGATTAGGTAGAGCAGCAAGGCATTGTGGGCCAGTGGTGCTGGGGAGGTGATTATTTTTCAAAAATAGTATGTGAAACAGTATGTGTTACGCAATGAGAAACATGTCAAAAGGGCTTTTCACACTGCGCTTCCTAACCCTGGGTTACTGTCGTTCTAAATCCCTCTTTAAACCCTGGGTAAAGGAATGTTTATGACCCCAGGTTTAGTGTGAAACATGAAGCAAGACAAACCAGGATTTCTTTTATCTGAGGGTTTAGAATGACCCAGAGTTAACTATTTCATGTGTGATAAGCCCTAGTACACCTTTAGTAGTACCTCTATACACATTTAATTCTGTGAATGCAATCTTGCATTTTTAATCCAATTTTGTTTAAAAGCACAATATTCCTTGGTGGCTTAATCAAATAATAATTCAAGACAAAGATGTTAAAAACACAACTCATATTTTTTGGAGACAGAAGGTCAAGTCATTTACATTGCAATGTGGGATACTGTATTCTGCGTACTGTGCTACAGTATTGTCTTTACTGCAATTTTTTTTTTTAAAAGACCATGATTATCCAGGTATGACATGCATAACAATTTTAGTATGGTAGTAATCCTACATAATTGGCACGTCTTTATAATCTACTGATAATTCAGATTTTTCCCATCAGGAATCAAACGTTTGATTAAAATGATGAAGATTGCAAACAAAAGCTCATATACTGTACTTCCATACTTGCACAACCCTTGACTGTTCACCCATTTCTTTTCCCCCAGCTCTCTCTGGCTGTCTCTGTCTTGATCTCACATGCTCACAGATTCATAGGAAGTGTCCTAGAAAACACCACATCACCTCAGTATGAAGGACAACACAGTCTGTTCTCTCTCGCTCTCTCTCTCTCTCTTTTACAGCAGGCAGGGACTAGTCATTTTTGAACACACACATGCTTTTACAAAACCTAGTGGCAGAGGCAGCATTTGAAGTCATCAAGTAGGCTACTGAATATACATAATTTTGAGCAAATTCTATGTCGGCGTCATACAACTTTCACAAAAAAAAAACAGTCCCAGAATGCATTACAAGGAGCTCAGTGAAACACTAATGCTGCCTTCCCGTGCTATCGGAATAATCATAAATACAAGTCTCCTAATCAGAAACTGGACATGAGTGGCCTCTTAAGTCGTATTTACTACTGGGAAACTCAGAGATCATTTTTATAGCAGCGTTTCCGAGTTGGGCGGGCAATGAACTTTAAACATGGTGGACGGGACATCGATTGCTGCTGTCAGTGCTATTCTTTATTAGTTTTTTCAACAACAACTATATCACCTTGTCTTGTTGTTATTTATATATACTGTATGGACAATCATTTGAAGCATGTGAAACAGTATTTGTTACGCAATGAGAAACATGTCAAAAGGGCTTTTCACACTGCGCTTCCTAACCCTGGGTTACTGTCGTTCTAAATCCCTCTTTAAACCCTGGGTAAAGGAATGTTTATGACCCCAGGTTTAGTGTGAAACATGAAGCAAGACAAACCAGGATTTCTTTTATCTGAGGGTTTAGAATGACCCAGAGTTAACTATTTCATGTGTGATAAGCCCTAGTACACCTTTAGTAGTACCTCTATACACATTTAATTCTGTGAATGCAATCTTGCATTTTTAATCCAATTTTGTTTAAAAGCACAATATTCCTTGGTGGCTTAATCAAATAATAATTCAAGACAAAGATGTTAAAAACACAACTCATATTTTTTGGAGACAGAAGGTCAAGTCATTTACATTGCAATGTGGGATACTGTATTCTGCGTACTGTGCTACAGTATTGTCTTTACTGCAATTTTTTTTTTTAAAAGACCATGATTATCCAGGTATGACATGCATAACAATTTTAGTATGGTAGTAATCCTACATAATTGGCACGTCTTTATAATCTACTGATAATTCAGATTTTTCCCATCAGGAATCAAACGTTTGATTAAAATGATGAAGATTGCAAACAAAAGCTCATATACTGTACTTCCATACTTGCACAACCCTTGACTGTTCACCCATTTCTTTTCCCCCAGCTCTCTCTGGCTGTCTCTGTCTTGATCTCACATGCTCACAGATTCATAGGAAGTGTCCTAGAAAACACCACATCACCTCAGTATGAAGGACAACACAGTCTGTTCTCTCTCGCTCTCTCTCTCTCTCTTTTACAGCAGGCAGGGACTAGTCATTTTTGAACACACACATGCTTTTACAAAACCTAGTGGCAGAGGCAGCATTTGAAGTCATCAAGTAGGCTACTTAATATACATAATTTTGAGCAAATTCTATGTCGGCGTCATACAACTTTCACAAAAAAAAACTGTCCCAGAATGCATTACAAGGAGCTCAGTGAAACACTAATGCTGCCTTCCCGTGCTATCGGAATAATCATAAATACAAGTCTCCTAATCAGAAACTGGACATGAGTGGCCTCTTAAGTCGTATTTACTACTGGGAAACTCAGAGATCATTTTTATAGCAGCGTTTCCGAGTTGGGCGGGCAATGAACTTTAAACATGGTGGACGGGACATCGATTGCTGCTGTCAGTGCTATTCTTTATTAGTTTTTTCAACAACAACTATATCACCTTGTCTTGTTGTTATTTATATATACTGTATGGACAATCATTTGAAGCATACTGTATGTTTTATGAACAGTGAAATAAGCATGTATTTGACCGAACCTCCAGAAACGTCAGCTGGTTATCTAGCGCGGTGAATGTTGGTTTTCAACCAGTGGGATGCTACAATTTATTCTTTCTGACAACAAAGCACTTGAATGCAATGAGCTCGTAATCACAACTTCATAAGTGGGAAATAGGACATTTCCGATAGCACGTGAAGACAGCGTAAATACAAGATGGCGGACACGGAAATAAAAATGTCTGAATAAACATATTTCATTCAAACCGTGGCTCAGTGAAATTAAAAACTGATCTTTTTGCTTGTTTTGTGTAATTTGTTTATAATAATAATAATACATAATAATTATAATACAGCTGTCTTATCATGCTCCATTGAAACCAATTGCAAGTCAAGTCTCCCATGCAAGCTCAGTTTGTTTGGCACACAGAGTTGCTACCTACACGGTGTGCACTAATTAGTGAAGGTAGAATGTTAGAATGCTGACTTAGTAGGTTGGTTACTCTTCTTTAAAACAGAGTAGACACATTTTCACACTGTTTAGTTTTTCCTTTCATCTCTCCTCAGTGCTACAGTATGTAAGAATCTCTAACTCCGTGATTACATATAGATTGTGGCGTAATAGTTTGCTGTGTTTTTGTGTGAGTGTGTGGGTAACGGTGAGATTGTGAGCTCTGAAACAGCTCTTCACCTCAAGTGTTTCAATCTGAACTCAGCATGTCGGTGTCAATTCCATCCATACAAATATGACTTTTCTCTCGCTCTCTCGCTCTCTCCCTGTCACTTTCTCTTTCTCTCACATGCAGACATAATGTATTCTACATAATAGTGAGATTTCATTAATCATACACAGACAGAGCTACAATACGGCTATGAGGCAGATGTTGCTGGTTGCTCTGTTTGGCGGTTGCACCACATATAATAAGTCTTGTGTTGTGCCATGTCTGGTTGTTGTTGTTGCTTTTTTTCTCTGTCTCTCTCATCCTCTGCTGCTTCTTTGTGTATAGCTGTTATCCTACCTTATTGTCTGGTATATTGTGTTGAGATGCTCTTATCTGGGCTTCTGCGGGATGATTTGATGCTCTGGACTGATCTGTGAAATGATTTGTGTGTGCTTCTGCCTCCTGGCTACATTAACTTATGATTGGGCTCTCTGTACTCGGCTGGATTCTGTTATGGTACTTGATGCTGTGTTTAGACACTCAGATTCAGATGTCCTTTATCTCCATGATAGCTCTGATCCAAAACCTACGGTTGTGAGCTCATGGGTGCTGTAAGGGGAGGGTTATGATTCCAAGGGCCCGGCGTTAGAGGGGGCCCTTAGAAACGCGATTTCTAACGAGGGGGGACCCCCAATCCCTCCCGGACTGTGATTTTTTTTTTTTTACCGCGGGGACACACAACTCCCGCCCACATTTCTTTCTATAAACACATTAATGATTGCTTTTTCTTCTGTATTTTGTTTAATTTTCACTACTGTTCAAAATTATTTTTTGGAAATCTCTCTTATGCTCACTAAGGATGTTTATTTGATCAAAAATACAGTAAAATACTATTGAAATAGTATAACATATTAAAATAACTTTTTTTTATTTTGATATATTTTTTAAATGCAATTTATGTTATTTTCCTGTAATGGCAAAGCTGAATTTTCAGCAGCCTTTACTCTAGTCTTTAGTGTCACATGATCCTTCAGAAATTATTCTAATTTGCAGATTTGCTACTCAAGAAACATTTATTATTATTATTATTATTATTATTATTATACATTTCTTTCTATAAACACATTAATGATTGCTTTTTCTTCTGTATTTTGTTTAATTTTCACTACTGTTCAAAATTATTTTTTGGAAATCTCTCTTATGCTCACTAAGGATGTTTATTTGATCAAAAATACAGTAAAATACTATTGAAATAGTATAACATATTAAAATAACTTTTTTTTATTTTGATATATTTTTTAAATGCAATTTATGTTATTTTCCTGTAATGGCAAAGCTGAATTTTCAGCAGCCTTTACTCTAGTCTTTAGTGTCACATGATCCTTCAGAAATTATTCTAATTTGCAGATTTGCTACTCAAGAAACATTTATTATTATTATTATTATTATTATTATTATCATTGTTGAAAATAGTTGTGCTGCCTAATGTTTTGTAGAAACCACAATACAGTTTCAGGATTATTTGATAAATAGAAAGTTCAAAAGAACATCATTTATTTGAAATAGTAACTTATTTAATATTATAAATGTCTTTACTGTCACCTTGTTTGATCAATTGTCATAAATAAAAGGAGTATTGAATTCATTATAATTATTTAAATAACAAAAAAATACTGATGTGTTATACAAAAGCACAATATAGATTGTATTATTATCATAATTTTTTGTGCAATTCTTAATTTTGCTGCTTAAACATCAAAATTTGCTAAATAAAATTTGATTATAAATATATCTCATTGAATACTGGAAATATAGCTAAATACTTAATGAATAAATAAATTATAAATGCTGAATAAATTTAAATGTTCACTAATTTGGGGATGCTGTGCATATTTATATATGGCACTGTGGAGTGTTTCAAATAAGTCACTTATGGTATTCAGTTCCTTTAAGTAATTTTTACTTAATATTTAAGTAATAATTGTTAACTTAGAAGGTAGCTGTCTGTGTAGTCAGCAAGGTGGTTCACTATGTTTTGGAACAGAGCTATTGTGTTTCGTTGTGAAATAAAACTGGACTATTGCTTCAGCCATGGCCGCAGACTGATTGTTCCTTCCCTAAGGAAATTCTCGTCCGGCCTCCCTCACTCTCAACGGTTTTTCTTTAGATCTATTTCTCCTCCGTCCATGCTGTTCTGTATTAATGAGAGAGGCTATTTCATCTCCTGTTGCCGCTGCTCCGTCCTGATTGTGTTTTCATTGTTCTTTATTTCCTCACCATTTTTCACAGGTTTTCTCTGTCAGGGCTGCAGTCTCCAGTGTAGATCTGACCTGATTACAGGGGAGCTGTTTTCGTGTGTGTGTGAGAACATCACAACCGTAGGGACAGAGGGAATCTGTTGCACGCAACCTCCATTTATACTCGGCCATTGCCGCTAGCTACGAGCAAGAGATAGAGAGAATAAAAGATAGAGAGAGAAAGACAGAGAGGGAGAGCAACCATGGATTTTCCATTAAATGAAAAGTGGATAACAGCTTGTGTGATTATGTTGGTAAACAGGATGGTGGTGTTGACATGGCGTATGAGCCAAAGCCTGAGGGTGGAGAATACACGAACTCTCACTACAGAAGAGATCTCTCCATCAGCCTGAGAGTCCACAAACAGCAGAGTCAGAAAAAAGAGGAGTAGAGGATAAGTGAAAAATCAACAGGTTCCAATTTCACTTTTAGAAATAGGTTCCTCGCAACACCCTAAACAAACAAAGAGCCTATAAGGACCCACTAACATTATATAATATATATATATATATACACACGCACTACTGTTAAAATGCCTGGGGTCAGGAAGAAGCAAACACACATTAAGTTGATCAAACATGACAGTATAGACATTTATATGTTATGTTATATATCAATTTTAAATAAATGCTGTTATTTTGAACTTCCTGTTCAACAAATAATTCTGGGAAAAAAGTATCAATGTTTCCACAAAAATATGAATCAGCACAACTGTTTTCGACATTGATAATGATAATAAGAAATGTTAACTGAGCAGCATATCAGCATATTAGAGTGATTTACGAAGGATCATGTGACACCGGAGCTTTGCATCCCAGGAATAAATTACATTATTTTGAGTTAATATTTTGCAATATTGTTGATTTTACTGTATTTTTGATCAAATGTGACCCTGTCTGTGAAATCCAGGCTAAAGTCTCAAAATATAATTATGAGATAACGAGCATCAAAGTTTGATTTCAACCTCTAATTTCACTATGATTTCAATCTTTGACATGGCCTTACTCAGTCAATATTAAAGATATAAAGGTTATATTTTCACAGAATGTTCTACATCTTTATGAAGTATGATTTTATGTAGAAAACAGTATATCGCAAAGAATGGCTTTAGCTGGGTTTTCACAGGCAGGGTCACAAATAAATCCAGCAATAAGAGACTTGTGTCAAAAACACCAAACCCCATTTCTTTCATTGAATAAACTATTTCACTCTGAAATGCATCACATCATGAAAGTAAAATGCTTTATGAACACTGTTTGATGTCGACATTAAGAGTGTAGATCTGAAAACCGAATCTCTTGTCAGAATCATAGATCACACTTTAAGACTTATATCATGTGACAATTCCAATGAAGCTCAGCTTCATAGAAGCAACCATTGACTTTTCATCTTAATAAGTTATTCCTCAGTTCTTCCGCGAGCTGCGTTTGAAAAACCAGGCTCAGATATTCAACAAAGAAGCCGCTATTCCCTGCCTCTCTCTGGCTCTCTGCTGTTTATCGTGATACACTCTCGGCTTTCTTTGCTCTGGGTGGGTACAGTGAGGTTATGGGCAAAAAGACTTCAGGAAGTAGCATTTATGTTTTTGAGTTTCCATCAGATAAGTGTCTCCCAGAGAGAAAACACATTTGTGCCATTTCCTTTTGTTTTCTGTTTTCGAAGCGGCTACCTCTGAATCTATTAACAAGGGACAGTTGCAACACAGCCGAGGTGAGAGATTGATTTTTGTTTTATGCCTTCCTCTCTGTCTCAGGGCCATGGGCCGCTCGCAACAGCAGCGTAGATACGGGCAGCCTGGAGGTGGGCAGGCGCGTGACCCAGGAGGTGCCTCCCGGGGTGTTCTGGAGATCCCTGATGCACCTCAGCCAGCCTCAGTTCCTCAAGTTCAACATCTCCTTGGGCAAGGATGCACTGTTCGGGGTTTACATTCGCAAAGGGCTGCCGCCGTCCCATGCACAGGTGTGCACACCCTTTCTATTTTCAGAGAGGCCACTCTGTGAAGTCCTTTCAGGGAAAAAACCCTCTTTCATCCCAACAGCGGATCAATCAGTCATTGCAAACACATTTTAGAAGTCACCAGGTGTTAGATAAAATCATTCCAATAGCTCAACTTCAAAGTATCTCACTGTTTGATATGTATGAATGCTGTCAAACCACTTAAAAACATAAAGAAAAAGAAAAACATCCACTCGTTTCCCTTGTTTCTGCGTTTCTCCCTCTGCAGTACGACTATATGGAGCGTTTGGATGGAAAGGAGAAATGGAGCGTAGTGGAGTCGCCCCGTGAGAGACGCAGTATTCAGACGGTGGTTCTGAACGAGGCCGTGTTTGTACAGTATCTGGACCCTGGCACATGGCACCTGGCTTTCTACAACGACGGCAAGGAGAAGGAATCTGTCTCATTTAGCACAGCTGTTCTGGGTCAGTTCTACTGTACATTTACTTCAAACACTCACTATATCACTCAACAGTGACATTTTTTATTTGAGATGAGAAGATACAATACATTTGCTGTGATAAGCAAGCATAACCATTTTTTTAAAGATAAAAAGTGTTTTAAAACAAAATATAATGGAAAAAATATATATTGTATGATCAACATTGTAATAATAATAATAATAAATTAATCTGCACCAAATCAGCATATTAGAATGATTTCTGAAGGATCATGTGACACTGACTGGAGTAATGGCTGATGGAAATTCAGCTCATCACAGGAATATATTACATAAAAAAATATGAATATAGAAGAATAATTTTGTATTGTAATAAGATTTCAAAATATTAATGTTTTACTGTAGTTTAAATCAAATAAATGCAGGATTGGTAAGCATAATTATACCAAATAGAGTAGTATATGTTTAGAAAAATTAAGCATAAAATAAATACTTATTGATAAAAGAATATGAAAAGTAATTATAAAAATCAAGAGCAAAGAGAACAAACCCTTAAAAAAGCCTAGAGAAACCCTTTTAATCAACCACTATTCAAAATATGCTTGTGTTTTTATGAGGAATATGTCCTTGCATTGTGACATTGAATGGCACATGCTTTTTTTCAAACGATTTACACAGAAACTTGTATTTCATAAATGAGGTCTAATGAAAGACCAGATAATTTTGAAACATTAAAATTACGGACAATTGGATTTATGGATTTTAGTCTCTGTAGAATTACAGATAAATGCTTCCATGCCGTCTAGTAAAAAGGAAATAATTAAATAATGTCAAGCTATTAATGTTATACCATTTCATATATATTATTATTATTCACTTGAAATGAGATAAGCACCTCGTGACTCTATTCTATGAATATTCACATGCATGAATTCTACGAATAAGTGGTGTCTCACCAATTAACCTTGCGCTAATCTACTGTGATATGGCCTACTTTCATTGCCGTGATATTACTCATGGCTAATGAAATGGTGTGTGACGCTGTTTGAATGGGCTGTATCAATAATGACCAGAGACCGCCACTCAGAAATAGAGCAAAAGAGGGACAGAAAACTCAGCTGAGAGAGGAAGGATGCGGTGGAGGACAGGACAAGATGAGAGCTGGATGTGGTGGTTACAGCTGTCATTGCCATCAAAGTGGCCTTTTTTTTTTTAGAAAGGTTTCATTCTTTTTACAGACTCTGTGCAAGAGTGTCCCCGCAACTGTCATGGTAACGGAGAGTGTGTGTCAGGAGTATGTCACTGTTTCCCCGGGTTCCATGGTATGGACTGCTCGAAAGGTAAGAGACACTCCAATTACACCCTGAACTCTGTCATACAGCAAGAGAAAGAGCTTGAGGGGAAAAAAACATTGACAGAGAGAGAGAAGTGAGAAAATGTTTTACTTCCCTGTCACTCATACTAGCGAAATAGAGAATGATCCATTGATGTCATATTTAAAATGATAGTTCACCCAAAAATGATCATTTTGTCATCTTTTATTCACCCCGTGTCGTTCCAAACCTGTGTGACGATCCACTTTGGAAAGCTGCTGTTTTGAGTCATATGGACAAATGTTATGGTGCTTTTTTTTTGTCATTTTGGAGCTTGACAGCTCAGACCTCGAAAAGACTGACTAAGATCAACTTCGAAAACTCACCATTATTCCACAACAGAAAGTCATACACATTTACAATAATAAATGAGTAAAAATGACATTATTTTCATTTTGGGGTAAACTGTGCTTGGAAACCATGGATAAGCATTAGCATCAGAGACATTGAGTTATAGTGCTTATGCTGGAGATTGAAGTTCTCTGTCCAGTCTCATCTCCATGAATCTTATTGTCAGCATTTCTTGTCACCTCTGTACTTCTTCTGTCAATAAAATGCCAAAAAACGGCAAATAATGCAAAACAGCATGCAGACTAGGGTCCAGACAGACATAAAGAAAAGAAAAGCATGCAAAAACACATGCAAGGGGGAACAGCAGTGAATTGTTGCCAGTATGGCACCAGCAGTGGGATTCACACATCAAAGATGTGTGTTAATCTCAGCGGTCCCTATGGCTCTACACACTCAACAGCCTTGGGTTTAGCCCAAGAGTCCAGGCACCCTCTAGATGAGTGTGTATGTGTGTGTGTTTCTGACCTAGCTATAAATTTTGGGACCAATTGGATTATATAATTCCCAACTTAATTTATGGACCATCATACGAAGGAAAAATGATTCATAAATAGACAAAATCTTTATTCAGCTCTGGAACTGCCAAAAGTTTAAGAGGTAAGAGATACCTCTGTAGTAATTATAATTAGCTGAGAACGACAGTTGTCAATGGGAAGTCCCCTTTTAGATAGCTGGGTAAATTTGTGTGTGTGTCCTCAATTGCCCCCAAAAATTCATTTGCACAGCTTGACTGAAAATACATTCACTGCATTTGCATACTTTCCTGTTAAGAAGGTGCTTTAGTTCTATGACTCAGTGAAACTGAGATCTATATGTTAGTAGAGGTCTCTCTCTCTCTTTCTCTTTCTCTCTCTCCCTCTCTCCCTTTCCCAGGCATAAGGATGATGAATGGTGGTTCATACCGCCCAATATCTCCCATTGTTCACCTGGGAAGCTCGTGATTAATAGTTTTGTTACCGCAATGTTAAATTACATTTTCTTTCATTACAGTTTTTTCCAACCTTTCACAGCTGTCCACTTCCTCCACTACTGCTGACCCTGTGTGTGTGTATTAATATCTTTACAATGCATGGCGCCTTGAGACTCTCATTGCAGAAATCACCCCAGGAAGTCTTTTTAGACTGCTAGTTACTAGACATCTTTCATCAGGGCTTAGAGAGAGTGCTACTGGGTAATGTAGTTTAAAAGTCAAGACTCCGGTTCAGATGCAGGCGCAGTCTGTTCTGATCAGGTTCGAATATGTGCCATGCTATTGCCATGTTTTAGCACATGTACCATGGTGTTACCATGTTTTTAGACAAGCACCTTGATATTATTATGTTTTTGGACATACACCATGATAATATGATGTTTTAGGTAATGTACAGTATCATAATGTTTTATATTCTTAGGACATTTATCATGGTATTACCGTATTTTTTGGACATGCACCATGATATTAATATTTTACTTTTTTTTTTTTTTTCTAATTTGTTAGTTATTAGGTTAAAAACATCTGCTAAATTAATAAATCTTATCATCGTAATTTCAGTTTGCAGTCAAACTAAAGTCTCAATAAGAGAATGTTCCTCCAAACTGATTGTTGTTGAACGTGTTTGGTGCCTAAAGCTTAAGGTTCAGTTCATTATTTTATATCATATGTCCTCAGTGTGAGACTTTTCTGAGCCCAGTGTTGTCAGATGTGTGCTCGGCCCTTCTTTCCTAGTATCAGACCATTCAGAGACACATCCATGACCACAACTTCCAGCCTGTTTCTCAATCTCTTCATAAACTTACACATATTCTTTGTAAACATACTGAAAATCTCTCTCCCTATGCTGTCTTATTTGTCTCTTATGCTATTCAAGGGTCTTTAGAGGTAAAGCATTGCAAAAGAAATGAATAAGGAAATGTCAGACTCATAAAATTGTGCATTGTTCTCTTTCTGTTTCTTCTCAAGCGGCGTGCCCGGTCCTCTGCAGTGGAAACGGTCAGTATGACAAGGGATCGTGTATCTGCTATAGCGGATGGAAGGGTCCGGAATGCGATGTTCCCATAAGTCAGTGCATCGACCCCCAGTGTGGCAGTCATGGCACGTGCACAGAGGGCACATGTGTTTGTTCTCTAGGCTACAAAGGAGAGAACTGCGCTGAGGGTAAGTGTATGTGCATGTGTGTAATAGTGTATCTTTGTGTAGATGTAGTTTCTTTGTCAATGGCTTAATAATATCCTCCGTGGCTGTAATAGCTGCGTTCTGTGCATGTGGCTACTTGAAAAGGGAAACACACATTTTCACATATTCAAACAAGTCATTTTTGGCTGTTTTCCCAGATTCACTGGTAGGTCTTAATGGGCTCCCGCAAAAACACCTCTCAGAGATGAGTAAAGGCTAGAAAATATATTGATCTGGGTGGTGAGAACAATAGTTTCAGTCTTGATTCATTTTTTGTGTTCTGTAGAGTTCGGTGGCTCTTGGGTAAGACAGTGACTGGCAATAAGAGAGAAGAAAACTAGAAGAGTCCCAGGAGTCTAAAAATGGAAAGGGAAGAGAAAGAAAAAGGTAGAGACAGAAGAAAAAAGACGAGGTATAAGAGGACAAAAGGAGAGGCTGAGATGAAAACCGCTAACAAACATAGAAATAGGTTGATGGAAAACAGAGTTTCAGAAAGTCTTTGCTGCTCATTACAGAGAGACAGTGATGGCAGCTAAACAAACAAACAAACAGAACAACAAAAGCCTTACATATTAATGCTTTCTAATTCTCATTCTCTACATCTCTAATTCATTATCAACAGTCTGGCATCAAGTACCATATTAAAGTGTTTAGAGGGGGAATTAATTGAATTGTTTACCTAAAAATGAAAATTCGATCATTGTTTACACATTCTCGTTCCAAATCTGTTTTTTTTTCTTTTTTGTTTGTTTGTTCATATATATATATATATATATATATATATATATATATATATAAGAATATATTTAGGTGAATGTTCATGCTGTTCTTTTCAATAAAATGAAAGCATATTGCGAACATAATATGTTTAAGATGTGTAAGTTAAGGTTTGCCTACATTTTGTGGTGCAAATGTACCCACAATGATGATAAACTTACCCAGGAGGAAATTCAACATATTAATCATGTTTGTGTCAGGGTTACGTTTAAGGGATAGAAAATATCATTAACTTAGTAGGAAAAAATAAACAATAGGAAAGTTCCCAACATGGCAGAAAAGAAAATGTATGTGTGTAAAATAGGAGAGATTGTTTTAGTGGGTCATGAGGAACTGAGGTGTTGCAGATCACAAGGTCAGCACTTTGCTCCTTTCATTTTTTTCCTGCCGTTCTAAGATTTTTCAAATCAGATATTCATCACAGCAGAGTCACTCAAACAATTTACCTGAAGTGCCGGTGACACAGAAATCGATATCTGTGATGTGCAGTTTCTGCAGCATAAACATTTGGCATGAATGGCTTTATGTGCGTGAGGAGAAAGGAGCAGCACTTCTGTCAGCCGAGGGGGGCTGAGACAGGGGTGTCACGCAGGGCACCTCAGGGCCGGGTAATTTGTCAAATAGCTTTCTCGTACTTTTCATGGCCAGATCTCTTCTTTCGCTCAGCAGTCGATATCAATTTTTGAGGCACCCCGGATGGAACATGTGAGAGACAGGGTCAAAGTCAAAAAGAGAGAGGAAGGGAGAGTAAGAAAGACAGACGGAGATGCTGAGAAAGTGAGGGTTTGAGAGGTGAGTGTGAAAGGCTCTAGACAGGAAACTGCCATTCTCACACTTAAGGTGTGGGATATTGATTTTTCATGCTTAGATGAAAGATGTAGTATGTGCTTGTGCATGCCTTCGTCAAAATCCCAGAAAGCCTAGGTATATGTGAATATGCATCCTTTTTTTTCTTTGAATATTTTTGGTATCAGTATATTGGTATAGTAATTTGGTCTGATAGATCAAATATGTAAATAAATGGGAAAATAGGACATCGATTATTAAAGTTGTAGTTTTGTCACTTTTACTTAACAGCTACTAGTGTACACCTAAAATTTTAAATGTATAGTCTTTCCTTTTCCTATGACTCATCTTGCACTTACTAATTTCATCCAATCAAATACTATCAAGAATGAACAATAACACTTTTGACTAGAAACAACAAGTAGCAAATTCATGATCATTGCTGTGACATAAACTAAAGGCTTGGCCTTTAAAAAACAGGGACAAGCCCTTCAATACATCCCTCCCTAGCTTCCTTTTTAATAAAAATTATGTCAACACAGGAAAGAAAACTGAGTTTATAAAGCAATATCATAGGGTCTTTTTATTTCTGACAGATGAAGCCTCATTCATGACTCTCACCTTTTGTTCGCAGTTGACTGCCTGGATCCGACCTGCTCAAATAATGGCATCTGTGTGAACGGAGAGTGCCACTGTAAACCAGGCTGGGGTGGACCAAGCTGTGAGCTGCCCAGAGCACAATGCCCAGATCAGTGCCACGGTCATGGTGCTTTTATTCCAGACACAGGCGTCTGTAGCTGTGACCCCAATTGGATGGGCCCTGATTGTTCTGTTGGTCAGTCTGCATGTTTGTTTGGATCTCAGTAATAAAAATGTTTCATTTCTTTATACCTGATTTCTAATGTATGATATGTAAATCGTGGTTTTACTGCTCTGTCCTTTCCTCCACACAGAGGTTTGCTCAGTCGACTGCGGGACACACGGTGTATGCATGGGGGGCTCGTGCCGCTGTGAGGAGGGCTGGACGGGTGCGGCGTGTGACCAGCGTGTGTGTAACCCACTCTGCGTGAAGCACGGCACCTGTAAGGATGGGAAGTGCGAGTGTGAACAGGGCTGGAATGGAGAACACTGCACCATCGGTAGGCATACGCCCAGCCCTGACCCAGGAACTGATCTTTTCCTGCTCCCTATACTGACTATTACAACAGATGTCAAAGCACTGTCTCTGCTCTGCCTCTACTGCTCTCTTGAGCATTATATAGAATCCCTCCTCTTTTCTGTGCTTGAAGCTTAATGTGAGAGGGACCTGTTTTTGGATCATCCTTGTTGGTCCCAGGGCAGCAATATTATCAACCATTCAGATTTTATGGAAAGGGTTAGAGCTGGGGTTAGGGTCTAAAACAGTGCTCTCTTATTTTTGGCCTAAATTATGGTTTGGGCCAGGGGTGTCCATACTCGCACCTGGAGGGCCACTATCCTGCAGAGTTCGGCTCCAACTCACGTGCCTGGAAGTTTGTAGTATGCCTACTAGGACCTTGATTAACTGGTTCAGGTGTGTTTTATTGGGGTTGGAGCTAAACTCTAGAGGACAGTGGCCATCCTGAAGCAGGATTGGACACCCCTGGTTTGGGCAAGGGTTTCTTAAGGACCAGCAAAGGATGTTGATCCAGGAATATGACCTACTTGCATGCAGCTCAGGGATTTAGGAGAACTCCAGGGAAAGTTTATTCTAGTGATTTTTCTCTTGACTGATCCATCAGGATGGGATATGTAGTACATGACTCTAAAACCATTAATATTAAGGCCATGCTCCAAAAGCTGCCCAAAACTCCTGTGGTCCATATTTTGGTCATATAAATCCAGAGGGATTGCAGTCTGCTGTAGAGTCCACAAAAGTGTGCATCGATGCATACTGTAGCGGCAACAAAGGAGACTCTTATGAGCACCCATCTAAATGATGAATATTAAAAAATGGGATACCCTATAGCCACCTTCCAGCACGCCTGAACCAGCTAATCAGTCTCCTCGGGGTCACTAGAAACATCCAAGCAGATGTGTTGGAGCTAAACTATGGTGGAAAATGACCCTTTAGGAGCAGGATTGAACACCCCTTCCCTACATTCTTGTGAAAACGACAGAAACATTCAAGTCACAGCCATTGCATGACTGCAAGTACAAATCAAGTGCATCATTTGACCCAAATCTCTGAAAGAGAAGTTTAAAGCATTTGAAGGTAGAGAATAGCAAACTAAAAGCTTGACTTTAAATCAGTTTGGAAGCATTTGCCCATAAGCTTATACAAGTTGTAAATAGGGCATAAGACAGACCAAGGTGAAATCAGTAGCTACGGGGTCAGTAGGTATATGAGAGATGAATGCTGAGGTGCAAGATTGTGTGGTGGGGGGGTTATTGAGGAGAATTAGACTGTTCCTCTGTCTGGTGTTGGACTGAGAACAGACTTAGTCGTGTTTGATCACGTCTCACACAGCGGAGGCAGATGTGTGGGCTGATGGGTAATGAACAGTCCTTGCGGAGTAGCAGCAACTGATGAAAGGTAGAGGTGTCTTCACCTTGATAAGTCACTCCTGTTTTTGTCTTGACTTCCTTCTCTCAAAAATAGACTCAAAAGCCAGAGTTTTCCTTTCTCTCATCATCTGTGGATATGTATGTGCATGTTTGTCTGTCATTCCAAAGATGACACGAGCGACAAAGACTGAAAGTGCTTTGCCTTTAATCCTTCTCCCCATTGTACGCCACAACAGGAAGTCTGTCTGATTATTGTCACCAAACTCTTTCTGTAGGCTAAATAAGCCTTGTAAATGGCTTCCATCTTCAGTTTCCATTTTTATTTCTCAGAATTATTCTGTTTCTAACTGATTCAAATGCAACACATGTATTCATTTGTCTTCTTGTTATGACACATTTTTGTTTCTTCTCAATGTCCTCTCTGATGCAGACTTTTGGGATGGAAGTATTGAAGGTATTGTACCTCGTCGTACTGTGACTAGTGCTAGCTGCACTTTAGTCTGGTCGTGAGCAACCCCCCGCCTCTGATAGCTTGGCTGCATAACGACTGTGTGCTTCTGTTCGTAGAGTAGCCGTTGTGGAGTAGAATGTCGTGTCGAGTAGGTTCATAGTGCTAGTCTGTGTTCTTCAGCGTGTGTGTTTATATTCTTGTTGTCAGATGATAATAGTATAGCTGTAATCATCTGTTTTGCACCTTGTTGCTTTTTAAATGTCCCTCTCCTACAGCATTAACCAAGCTACAAAAGTGTCCAATCTGCCTGAGCCACTTAGAACAATGACTTTTCAATCCTTCAGAATATGGGGTAATACTATGCATTAGAGTGGCCATGTTACACATATAATTTAATAGATAGTAAGCAGACATCCTAAATGTCTACCACAAGTTATTACAAAGACAGTCTCAATGGAGTAACCTGAAGATAAATGTCTTGCTCAAGTTGTTGATTGAGTCAAAGTGTGATTCATAACATATAATAATAAATCTCAATGCCAATGCAACCGGTTCCACTCTGCCCATTCCAAGCAGGGCTCAAACCAGCAGCAGCCAGCATTGGGAGGCAGGCATGCTAACAGGGACGCTGAAGACTGAAGTCTTTAGTGTCCATTGCTAGTGCCTCTGGAGGGCAAGAGGAGTGAGATTTACCTGCACAACCTCCCCCTAGATGGCCCAAATTATCATGGTACATCTCAGTGTGTCTACTGTACTTAGGGCTTTATTAATCCTTGGCAAAGTCTTGGCTCATGAATGTTAACTTGGTGATTGGATGGTTATCTTGCAATGTCAGTATGACATGAAGATTCATGAGTCAAGTAATTGCCATGTTGTCAAAACCAGCCAGTCTTTCAGGTCTGTCAGTTAAGGTGGAGCAACAGTTTGAAAAGAATCTTGCAAAACTAGTTAGATATTGTAATGTGTTTCTAACAAGCTAATTGAAAAATCGCATTTGGTTTAATGACATTTCAAGTTAACTCTATCACTTCTTTAAAGGGATAGTTCACCCTAAAATGAAAATGATTTCATTATTTACTCATCCACATGTTGTTCCAAATCTGTAAGACCTTTGTTCATCTTCGGAACACAAATTAAGATTTTTTTTGATGAAATCCAAGAGCTGACCCTGCATAGACAGCAACGCAACTACCTCGTTCAAGGCCCAGAAAGGTAGTAAGGACATCATTAAAATAGTCCATGTGACATCAGTGGTTCAACCTTCATTTTATGAAGCTATGAAAATATTTTTAACAATTCCTCTTATCCTTGTCAGTCTCCGACTCTTGTGAATGGTACTACTCACGTGAATGCGCGTGATGCTGCTGCTGACGCAGGAGCCGGCGTTCTGATGTAGAACATGCATGCACTGCGGCTTGTTTACAAGCAGAGGAATGCACACGCATGTGTCATGGTACTGTCATGAATGGTGGCGGAGACTGACCTGAAGAGAAGAAATTGTTAAATAAAGTTATTTTTGTTTTAGTTGCACACAAAAAGTATTCTTGTAGATTCATAAAATTAAGGTTGAACCACTGATGTCACATGGACTGTTTGTATTTACTACCTTTCTGGGCCTTGAACATGGTAGTTCCGTTGCTGTCTATGCAGGGTCAGAAAGCTCATGGATTTCATCAAAAACAGAATATGGGGTAATACTATGCACTAGAGTGGCCATGTTACACATATAATTTAATAGATAGTAAGCAGACATCCTAAATGTCTACCACAAGTTATTACAAAGACAGTCTCAATGGAAGATAAATGTCTTGCTCAAGTTGTTGATTGAGTCAAAGTGTGATTCATAACATATAATAATAAATCTCAATGCCAATGCAACCGGTTCCACTCTGCCCATTCCAAGCAGGGCTCAAACCAGCAGCAGCCAGCATTGGGAGGCAGGCATGCTAACAGGGACGCTGAAGACTGAAGTCTTTAGTGTCCATTGCTGGGTAATACTATGCATTAGAGTGGCCATGTTACACATATAATTTAATAGATAGTAAGCAGACATCCTAAATGTCTACCACAAGTTATTACAAAGACAGTCTCAATGGAGTAACCTGAAGATAAATGTCTTGCTCAAGTTGTTGATTGAGTCAAAGTGTGATTCATAACATATAATAATAAATCTCAATGCCAATGCAACCGGTTCCACTCTGCCCATTCCAAGCAGGGCTCAAACCAGCAGCAGCCAGCATTGGGAGGCAGGCATGCTAACAGGGACGCTGAAGACTGAAGTCTTTAGTGTCCATTGCTAGTGCCTCTGGAGGGCAAGAGGAGTGAGATTTACCTGCACAACCTCCCCCTAGATGGCCCAAATTATCATGGTACATCTCAGTGTGTCTACTGTACTTAGGGCTTTATGAATCCTTGGCAAAGTCTTGGCTCATGAAAGTTAACTTGGTGATTGGATGGTTATCTTGCAATGTCAGTATGACATGAAGATTCATGAGTCAAGTAATTGCCATGTTGTTAAAACCAGCCAGTCTTTCAGGTCTGTCAGTTAAGGTGGAGCAACAGTTTGAAAAGAATCTTGCAAAACTAGTTAGATATTGTAATGTGTTTCTAACAAGCTAATTGAAAAATCGCATTTGGTTTAATGACATTTCATAATCCTTGGCAAAGTCTTGGCTCATGAATGTTAACTTGGTGATTGGATGGTTATCTTGCAATGTCAGTATGACATGAAGATTCATGAGTCAAGTAATTGCCATGTTGTCAAAACCAGCCAGTCTTTCAGGTCTGTCAGTTAAGGTGGAGCAACAGTTTGAAAAGAATCTTGCAAAACTAGTTAGATATTGTAATGTGTTTCTAACAAGCTAATTGAAAAATCGCATTTGGTTTAATGACATTTCAAGTTAACTCTATCACTTCTTTAAAGGGATAGTTCACCCTAAAATGAAAATGATTTCATTATTTACTCATCCACATGTTGTTCCAAACCTGTAAGACCTTTGTTCATCTTCGGAACACAAATTAAGATTTTTTTTGATGAAATCCAAGCGCTGACCCTGCATAGACAGCAACGCAACTACCTCGTTCAAGGCCCAGAAAGGTAGTAAGGACATCATTAAAATAGTCCATGTGACATCAGTGGTTCAACCTTCATTTTATGAAGCTATGAAAATATTTTTAACAATTCCTCTTATCCTTGTCAGTCTCCGACTCTTGTGAATGGTACTACTCACGTGAATGCGCGTGATGCTGCTGCTGACGCAGGAGCCGGCGTTCTGATGTAGAACATGCATGCACTGCGGCTTGTTTACAAGCAGAGGAATGCACACGCATGTGTCATGGTACTGTCATGAATGGTGGCGGAGACTGACCTGAAGAGAAGAAATTGTTAAATAAAGTTATTTTTGTTTTAGTTGCACACAAAAAGTATTCTTGTAGATTCATAAAATTAAGGTTGAACCACTGATGTCACATGGACTGTTTGTATTTACTACCTTTCTGGGCCTTGAACATGGTAGTTCCGTTGCTGTCTATGCAGGGTCAGAAAGCTCATGGATTTCATCAAAAATATCTTAATTTGTGTTCCAAAGATGAACGAAGGTCTTACAGGTTTGGAACAGCATAAAAGTGATTAATAACAGAATTTTACCCTTTAAGTATAAAGCTTTGTTACCACCGCAGTAATGCAAGAACTTTAAATATGCACAACAGCACCACGCTTTTGCAATGCATTGACTAAGCAAATACATTTGCATACTTGACTGTTTGTTTATAAGTCTTCCATTAACCTAAAATTAGGTCTTTCTTTTTATAGGTAGGATTTATTTCTGCATCTTTGAAGGAATTATGCCATAGAATGGCACCATATACTTATTAAAGGACCAGTCTCTCTGGAGCAACATGAGTTTAAGCCTTGCTCAAGAGCACAATAGTGAAGGCTTCTTGAGGTGGTTGGAACCGATGAACTTCAAGTTAATAGACTTGAGCTGGAACCACTACAGTACACCACCCCCATTCCCTCCAACTTTTATAGGAGCAGAGTTAAAGGCTGGGTCAACTACATGACTCTAAGCATAATGGGAATGCTAGCATTTAAGTAGACTGCAGTTTCAGCTAGAGGCAGAGCAGCACTCACCAGGACACACCAGCTCCTAGCAGTCTGTTTGAGTCTTGCTTTTTGTTTGCACAGAACAGAGACGCAGGAGGCAAGTCGTCCTATACTTCCATCAAGTTTCAGAAAAAAAAGAGCTAAATTACAGAGGACACTACAGAGTGGAGACAAAGATCACATAGAATTTGCTATACCTGAGAGATATAGATTACTACTGCGAGTAAAGGGATCGGAAGGGAGTGGATCCTAAGATAAATGTGAAATTTCATGAGCCATTGATGCAGAGTGGGTCAAGAGCAGTGAGCAAAATTTTTACTGCGCATATTTCGGCACACGGTGCAGAACCACAGAAGGCATGGTAATGACTTTGTGTCAGCGCCTGCATGAGTTCTAACTCATAGGATGAATACTAATGGAGGGGCAGGAGTGTGTGTGCTTTCCTGAGAAGGGGAGTGCGGTGTGTTTGCAGGGAGAGCAGGATAATGAGGAGTTTAACTGCAGGGCCCACAATGATCACGTGAATGCTCATGCATCAGTGGACGGAAGCAAGTCTGGCACAAGAGCTAGCGACAATTGTTACTTGATTTAAATTTGTATCTCTAATTGGCCGAAATTACTGCAGGTGAATAGCCGTTGGAGGCATGGATTTTGTATGCTAGGGTATACTGAGTGGATGTGAGTTGCACTTGATTGGCTAATGATTGGAACGACACCCACCATACAAGACAAACCCATCCTAGCTTTAACTGCACATCTGAATGTCCTTTTAGGGAGTGGCAGTTCTTAAAGTTGCAGTGCACATATCTGCACCATTCAAGCCAAACAGAAATTGCAGAAAATTATTTTTTTGACTGTTTCCAAACAGGTTTCCCAAACACACTAGGCTTCTGAGAGAACTCACACCCACCATACAAGACAAACCCATCCTAGCTTTAACTGCACATCTGAATGTCCTTTTAGGGAGTGGCAGTTCTTAAAGTTGCAGTGCACATATCTGCACCATTCAAACCAAACAGAAATTGCAGAAAATTATTTTTTTGACTGTTTCCAAACAGGTTTCCCAAACACACTAGGCTTCTGAGAGAACTTGTTCAATGCGCACAGGACATTATCCAGTCTCTGCTATAGTTCAGAAAACATTTGAGTGAAAATTTTCAGCTTTCACTATTCCCATGCTGAAGTTTAGGATGTTATTTGACTTTGTAGTAGTACATGGAACTCTATAGGCAGAAAACCCAGACAGAAGGTGTTTTATGCAGTAGGTGCTCACTCCCTGTGGGACTTTATCTGTCTCTTCCTAAGGCGAATTTGGAGGATTTATGAAACTAACCTTTATTTTATGACCTTTAAAGGCGAGAGGGCTGCAGGCCAGTGGATGGGATAGTTAGGTGGAGGACTGGATTTCTCTTCCACACGTTCTTTCTCACCTGTAATATCCCATCCTAGATATTTCATCCTTTCTTTCTTTCTTTCTTTGCCTGCAATTCCTGCAGTCCTGCAACCCTGCTGTTCTTTTCTTTTGCTGTTTTTCCCCTTTCCACCAAACCATCTGTCTCTTTCTATTCATCTCTCCATCCATCAACCGCTGGCTGTTGCTATGCAGCGTGCTTCTTTCCCCATCTCACCTTTGCATACCTCTCTCATACCGTGTGCGCTGACCCATAACTCAAGGCAATCTCAGCTCCTTTTTAAGTAGATTACAATAGAGTCAACCCGCATTACTTTAGTCAGGTGGCTTAATAGTTTGTGAAATCCCACTTTATTCTAGTTAGTGTTCTGAGAATCGACTGGCCTTTGGCATGAAAGAGGGGCCCTGCTCAGTGCTGCCCAATGAGGAAGATCAATGGTCAGCATAGATTTTGCTTTCCTGGTGTTTCATAAGTATTTGTCTGCTTAAAATGGCAGCTCCATTTAAAAGGCAATCATTGCTAAGTGACTTCCCTCTCAGCTCAATATTGCGTGACAATCGATGCATAGCAGGCTGTTTATGTGGCATCTCAAGGAACCCAGACATTGAAAATTACATTAATTAAAGCAACATTTGATTTGAGTCACAATGGCTGAATGCGTCCCAGTGTGTGCTGGGTTTTCACACTCCTCTGCTCGAGGCTATTTCATTTCACTCATCACAAATCATCTGAAGTGTCAGCTGCCAATAATACTATATAGCCTTGCGATGAAGGAAACCAGCTCCTTCCAAAAGGCTGTGTTTCCAGGGTAACCATAAGCGGAGGCTGTGACACACTAACAGAAGTGTTTACTGTTAGAGATTGAACTCCGGGGCACCAGCAATGGTTTCTGATGACACAGTGTGAGGTCGCAGCGTCGTTTTCGTTTTACAGCGAGGTAAGAGACGATGCCCACGGCAGTGCTGAGATTTTTAGACCGCATGTTTTATTTACCCGAAACTCCTGATGACTCGGAAATGTCAGGTCACATCTCTAGGGTGCTTAATTATGGACTGGTGTGGCTAAAGGAGAATAGTGCTTATCCTTTTCATTTCTCTTCTCAGTCTCTGCCTCTCCCAGAGAGAGCTTCCTTAAAACATTCACTTCAATCCATGTTCTTCTCAAAACTGTTGTGACAAGATTGATTTCTGCCTTTTGTATTTTAGGAAGACTGTTTATCCCGTAACTGCATACATTAAACACCCACACACATGCCACACTTCACTCCAAAAACTTGATATATTTATCAAAGCACTTTTTCTCTTTCTTGAAAACATCTTTAAAGGTGACATATCGTGAAAATCTGACTTTTTCTGTGTTTAAGCACTAGAATCGCGTCCCCGGTGCATCTACCAACCCAGAAAACGTGAAAAAGATCAACCCAGTAAATTTTTTTTTGGAAAGCCTTTCCTCTGCAAGCTTGTGAAAAAATTAGCCACTCAGATTTTGCTTCCCCCGTGACGTTGAAAGGGGATCATCTTATAATATTACCTTAATTTGCAAGTTTCCACCCATGGCGCTGCCATTGTGTTTTCACAAGTGACAACGGTGTACCAGTTCTAACACCATGGCGAAAGTTCAAGCAAAGCATGCTAACCGTTCTGTCTTCAGCTGCACAGAAGAACACAGAACATTATTTAAACTCCCAGCTTCAGAGGAGACAAGAGAGAAGTGGATTTATTGATTTATTTACTGTATATTACACTGCAGCCACACAGATCTAATATAAACGTCATTTTTTCCCCCAGCTGTTTATCTTCACAGACATAACTGACTGTTTTTGTAACTTGTGTGTTTTTAACATAAACTTGTGTGTATTTGACAGTTTAAGCGCAATAAGACATGGAAGCACTTAGTTTAGTACTCACATGTTGTGTGACAGCCGCTTTCTGTGTGCGTACTTCGGATGTGTACGCTCAGAAAACAGCGTGTTTCTGCTTCCACACCATGTTCAAAATGATATAATAAATTATCTGTGGGTTATTTTGAGCTGAGACATCACAGACACATTCTGGGGACACCTGAGACTCATATTACATATTGTAAAAAGGGACATAATAGGTCTCCTTTAAAATAAGTATACTTCTTCACCTTCATATTCTCCCACACTATGTTCTTATTCAAAAGTCTTTGGTTCTCTCCAGGGGCGCCGCTAGCAATTTTGGGCCCTATGAAAGAATATGAGGTTGGGTCCCCTACCGCACCAATATGGCAAGGTTTTTAAAAAAAAATGTTTGATTCAGTCAGTGTGGAAGAACTTGACTGGTCTGCATAAAGCCAAGTCCTAATCCCAGCTGAACACCTCTGGTGTGACTTTAAATTCAGACCTTGAGCCAAAAACTCATCACCAAACACCAGTGACTTGTACATACATATGGACAAAAGTATTAGGACACCCCCTTCTTTAGAACAGAAAAAGGCACTTCCAAAACTGTGGCAACAAAGATAGAAACATAATGCATGTATTTAAAAATTGTATTTCCATCTTTGTTGCCACAGTTTTGGAAGTGTCTAAAATGACTGTACCCATATGTACAAGTCATTGGTGTTTGGTGATGAGTTTTTGGCTGAAGGTCTGCATTTAAAGTCACACCAGAGGTGTTCAGCTGGGAGTTGGACTTTGCTTTCTGCAGACCAGTCAAGTTCTTCCACACTGACTGAATCAATCTTTTTTTTTAACCTTGTCTTATCCACAGAGGCATTGTCTTGTTAGAATGAAAAGGGGCCTGTTCAAACTATTGAATTCCCTAGAATATCCTTATTTGCTTAAACATTAGGATTTGTACTCATGGAAATTACTAAAGTAGTCAAACCTGTTCATTAGAAGGGGGTGTCCCAATACTTTTGGCAATATAGTGTACAAGCCAACCTAGCTATTCAAAATCTTTGTCTGCAATTTAATAATATTGACCTACTGTATTAGCCTACTTTTGCAATTGCTTTTGACCATTAGGTATCAGTAACATAATTCATTCAGAGACTGTTCTATTGACATAGACTTTCTGTACCACACTATTCTGCTGATATGGAATGAGTTTGACTACTTAATCAGTTATATTAATAGAAATGCTTCACTGGGGCAAACAAAAAAATCCTAAAATAATGAATCGGATACCCCATAGCAGCATTTCCAGCATTATCCAACATTTCTCAATCATGATCTTACTAAATGTGACTATTAGCCTAACAGCTGTATTCCTTGTTTGCTAGCTACCTATGCACATAGAGCATACAATGTTAAAAATGTTCTACATTATGAACCTTAACCCAAAAACCTTTAGCTTCATGCACTGTAGATAATTGTGACCCTGCCTGTGGAAACCCAGCTAAGGTATTTTTTTAACAGTGGATGAGTAATTCACTCATAATAAAAGCCTCCTTTGAGATCGCTTTGACTGACATGTTTATTGTGTATTATTTCCAACGTGTTTATTGCTAAGTTTAGCAAAATAGAAGTGCAGCCGTAATTCGCATGCAGTGTATCCGGTTGCCATGACAACAACCTCACGCGCTTCCTGCTGCTGCTCTATGTAATCAGAGTGTGAATTTGTAGATTTTCAATAGCAAAACTAAAATGTGTTTAAAAATGCGACTGACCAAATCGCCCGGCTCAGTTTCAAATATCCCCTCCTAAATGGATGAGTTTTGATAAATTAATTTGCTACCAACAGCGGCTATCAATAGAGTCTACCGAAGATAATTTAATTGCTCCCAGAGTTTGAACTGATTTGAGGTGTGAATAGATGGGCATTGAGCATATTGGAGGCAGATATGGTTATGTGTGAGCACTGATTCATGTCTGCCTGTAGTGTCACAGCCAAAAGTTTGAAAACCTAGACACATATTAAGGATGATTCTAATTTGCATTTCGTGTTCATTTGTGGCATTCCATTTTGATTGTCTGAATAATGTCTGCAGCAATATGCTTTTGTGTTCTGTTTTAGAGCTATTTGTATAAAATTGCATTAAACCGATGCAAACACATTTTTTTTATCTTCTAATTTTAAGAATAAATTAAAAAGTTAGGCACATAAGTAGCTAAAAATGTATTGTCTAAAAATGTACATATATACCTACATAACCTGAAAGCGACACCAAAAGCTAAATACTTTTTTTTAACCATTCAATTCCATTTAGTTCAGTTGAACTTTGAACTCTAAACTATTTCTAGCTTGTTTTCAAACTTTTGGTCACAATTATTGATATATCAGTGCTCTGATGACTGGCTTGATGGATTTCAGCCTCTCTAAACCCATCTTCCTTCTCTTTCTGTCTGTTGCAGATGGCTGTCCAAACCGATGTAATGGAAATGGACAGTGTCTGCAAGGTCAAAACAGCTGGCACTGCGAATGCAAGACTGGATGGAGAGGCACCGGCTGCAATGTTGCCATGGAGACTTCATGTGCAGACAACAAAGACAATGAAGGAGGTGAGAGATCTTTCGGAAACTCTGTGGGAACTTTGTGACAAAGATTGTATGTGATTGGAACAGCCACATGTGCACAGGAACAGCTGCTGTGTGTAATTTCTGTAATTTCAGGAAAAGCTGCTGTGTGTAATTTCTATGAGTATTTTTATGTACTTCCAAACGGAATTATGTAAAAAATAATGACCATTAGAATCCACAGATATTTTCCCGGTTTGCCATTGTCCCTACAAACTGGTAGTCAAAATCTAACCACACACCATTAAAGGGATAGTTCACCTAAAAATGAAAAGTTGATGTTTATCTGCTTACCCCCAGGGCATTCAAGATGTAGGTGACTTTGTTTCTTCAGTAGAACACAAACGAAGATTTTTTAGTCAAACCGTTGCAGTATGTCAGTCTTATAATGCAAGTGGATAGAAATCACGGCTTTGAGAGTCAAAAAACATACACAAACAAAACCAAGTTAAACCCTGCGGCTCGTGACGATACATTGATGTGTAAAGACACAAAACGATCGGTCTGTGCAAGAAACTGAACAGTATTTATATCGTTTTTTACATCTGATTTTCACTGCAATGTCCGAACTGTCCAGAGCTCATCCTGAGCGTCGTCTTCTTGCTTTACCGCGGATCGCAGACTTATAAGTGCATTACCGCCACCTATCTCTCAAGTGGACCATTGACACTCCTAATTGAGATTCTAGATAGAGTGTCAATGGTCTATTTGAGAGATAGGTGGCGGTAATGCACTTATAAGTCTGCGATCCGCGGTAAAGTAAGAAGAAGAAGAAGACGCATCAGGCACCGGCTGTTGAACGTGCTCAGGATGAGCTCTGGACAGTTCAGACATTGCGGTGAAAATCAGAGGTAAAAACGATATAATTACTGTTCAGTTTCTTGCACAGACCGATCGTTTAGTGTATTTACACATCAATGTATCGTCACGAGCCACAGGGTTTAATTTGGTTTTGTTTGTGTATGTTTTTTGACTCTCAAAGCCGTGATTCCCATCCACTTGCATTATAAGACTGACAGACTGCAACGGTTTGACTTAAAAATCTTCATTTGTGTTCTACTGAAGAAACAAAGTCACCTACATCTTGGATGCCCTGGGGGTAAGCAGATAAACATCAACTTTTCATTTTTGGGTGAACTATCCCTTTAAGTGAACAAAAAGTTATGTATGTCAGACAAAGTTTGATAACACCACAGTGGTTACACGTTTGGGGGAATTCTTATGAATGGCTTACTTATAGTAAATTAAGCTGGCATAGTGGAAAGTTTTTTAACATTGAACAAATTACACACTGCAGCTTTAATGTATTCCATGCTCTAATGGGATGAGAGTGACCAGTAACCAGATGTGGCAACTTTTTGTGTGTATCTATACCTCTGTTTACAATTCTTGAATGTGTAAATTTCATAGGAATAAGCTAACCTTTTCTCAGAAAATACTGGACTGTTGGCTTTCATCTGAAACTACGGATTAAAAAAAGCAAGTCAGATGTTCTGTAGTAAGTAATTTAATTCAAAGCCTACAGGTGATGGAAAGAAGAAAGCACTTTTCGAACTCTTTGGTAAATGAATACTGGAACAGAGACAAAATTCAAATCCAACATCATTGTGTTCAAAACCTACAAGAACACTTTGATGAAACGGCTCTTGTTCAACAGATGAAGAATGTTTCCTTTTTTTTTTTTTACAGAGAACGAGATGAAGAGAGAAGTCTTTCGCAGCCTTAGGCAACTCTGATTGATTGTGCACCATTGTAATATGACATTACTCATCACACTGCTGTTTTCTTTCTTCTAGATGGTCTGACTGACTGTATGGATCCAGACTGCTGTATCCAAAGTCCCTGCCAGAACAGTCCGCTTTGTAGAGGGTCCAGGGATCCCTTACAGGTCATCCAACAAGGCCAGCACCCTGAGCAGAAAGTTCGTTCCTTCTACGACCGTGTTAAGATGCTAGTGGGCCGGGACAGCACACATATAATCCCTGCAGACAATCCATTTAACGCAAGGTAACTTGCTTTACTGTACACAACAACTTGGTAAATGTCATGTCTCTTGTATTGTACGATAGAAGAAAAATGAAATATCCACTGGAGTGCACACAATTTATGCTATATCTGTTGAGAGTAAATTGAGTGCTGGGATAGTTATTGACAGTTCTGTGCTATTTCGTAACCCCAGAGCTATTTTTGAGGAACTGTATCGATTGTTGTCAGTGGTGCTACAACATCTTCCTGTCTCTTTCTACTGTATTTCTTGGAATAACTGACAGATGTGTTGGCTAATGGGAATTTTTTTTGACAGCAGTTGTTGAATTGATGGTATCGCTTTGGATTTATTGGTTATCGAGCAGCTGATGTCTTCTTGTTTGTTCTGTGTTCTCCAGTCTGGCATCACTGATCAGAGGTCAGGTGGTGACAACAGATGGAACCCCGCTGGTGGGAGTTAATGTGTCGTTTGTCAAGTACCCACAGTATGGCTACACCCTCACACGCCAGGATGGAACGTAAGTTTACCGTAGTACTCGTACCAACCAGGGTTGTACACAAAGAATTGACTTGCTTTTTAAATTGTACTTTAACTGAGAAGTGAGGTAGCAAACTGGATGCAGAAATGCAATTTAAATTTGAATGTGACTCTAATTTTTAACTGGAAAAGCAGTTTATAAGACAAAGTTTGATTGTTGGCTTGACTGCTTTGTTTAAATGTTGTAAAAATGGTTTAATGGATGGATGGTGTCTTGTGGCCATTTAAATTCAAAGTCACGCTCGTGAATTCAAAGGAAGCCAATTCTTCATCTCTGAGTTTTGGCCAACCCTGGTACCTACACATCCAAGCTGATCATCCAAGCAACAAACAACCCTTTCCCCTCTGAAACACTTTTATTATTTCTGCTCCCGAGCCTTATTTTGTGACTTACTTGTTTACATAAGCTTCTAGTGATTTAGAGAGCTACATGCTAACTGAACAAATCTTTATTAGATTCATTTAGAGCCGAGTAAACTCAGTCTTTCCATTGAAATGACTGCAATCTATCAAAACAATGAATTATCCCTCCCAGAGAAATGGCATTTTTAATGGTAAAAGCATTCAGAATGTAATGGCGCTATCAATAACTGAGAATAACACAAGTACATATTTGTTTTTGTTTTTTACACTCTGTTTGCCTTTCCCCCTTCCTCTCGCTCTGTGTCATTAGATTTGACCTCATTGCCAATGGTGGAGCCTCTCTCACCCTCCGATTCGAGCGGGCTCCATTTTTGAGTCAAGAGCGCACAGTGTGGCTCCCGTGGAACATTTTCTATGCCATGGACACTCTGATGTTAAAGACAGAAGAAAACACCATCCCGAGCTGTGACCTCAGCGGCTTTGCGAGGCCTGATCCTGTGGTAGTGGCCTCCCCCCTTTCTTCTTTCTTCAGTTCCAGGCCAGGAGAGAGGTCCATCATTCCAGAGACACAGGTATGATGAAATCCTCGCTTCCTTGAAACATTCATTACTGTAATTAGCAGATTAATGTGTTTTGCACTGATGGGATCCTTCAGTTAGACTTTACCTTTCAATTTTGCTCACTTCAGTGTCCCAAATATTGCTCTTTTCTCATTTTATTTGTGTTCCTTTACCACTCTCTCTTTGGTCATTAAATTAGTTGACAGGTTGTTAACCTGATGAAACTCACAGGTCATCCCTCATCAACCATTTTCACATTTGCATTTCCCCTTCCTTTAATCATTTTAGTCTTTCTTCTACACCCTGACCTTCCTAATCATGTCTTATTCTTGTTTGAAAATACCCTTTTCCTGTGACGTGAAAATCATTTTTCCATCTCTCCACCAGGTTCTGCATGAGCAGCTAGAGATTCCCGGCACCAATCTGAAGCTCTGTCACCTGAGTTCACGGACCCCAGGTTACCGCTCTTTGCTCAAGATCACCATGACTCAAGCCGTGGTGCCTCTCAGCCTGGTCAAAGTCCATCTGATGGTTGCCGTAGAGGGACACCTCTTTCAGAAGTGGTTCCATGCTTCACCCAACCTCGCCTACACCTTTATCTGGGACAAGACGGATGCATACGGTCAGCGTGTCTATGGCCTCTCTGATGCAGTGGGTAAGCATACATAATTAATTGTGACTGGATTGGTGGCTTAGTTATTAGCACACATGCTCTAAAACAAAGTTATTATCCCATTGCAGTTACTGTTCCTACAAAAATATAATTGTTTGTGTAATTTTAATTGAGGCTGAAAACGAGTTTGGCCAAAATTATTAAAAGAAGCTGTCGTTTAATTAGTGCTTTGCCAATCGTGTGTTTAGACTCTGTTAGTGTCTGTTTCCTGCACACAACTTGGATACGCTACAACAGGTAAAGAGCTAAGGCTGAATTGACAATGTTAATTTCTAGTTTTTAACAAATCTTTGTTTTGATGAACCAGATATTTTAATCTATGCTGTTTTCTGTTGATGAGTGAACCTCAATAAACATTATTTGTAGCACACCTACCATCCAGTAATTACAATAATCTTTCTGCTTTGTTACTTTTGATATGAAACAAAGTCTTTTTTTTCAAATTCTGTCAATTTTATAACAAAATGTTACCAAACAAATGCGTTTTGATGATCTTTACTATGGCACAACACAACGCTGTAGCCGTCTCAGTTCAAGCAGCACATAAACCGATCATCTTCCTCTTTATTACTAGTTATAGCACAGAATAAACATGAATTAACATTAGGAGGTGTATTAAAAGAAACACTTACTGAAATATCACATCTAATGCAATCTCCAATCAGTGTTTCAAACACCGAAAGACGTCAGCTTGTAAACAATGTCACAGAATGCTACCTTTATCTCAGGAAGGTAATTCAATAGCTTGATAGTTAGCCTTATGTGCAATTTAAATGTTTATATACAGCTCAGTGTTTGAGTGTTGATTATTAAGTATATTGATGAATTAATTGTTTGATAAATAAGCTTTATTTCCAGTTTCAGTTTTCAGCTAAAATAAAACTTTAATTTTCAGTTATGCTGTTTCTTTTAAAAAAAACATAATTTTGTTCCATCACTACTGTAAATACAAAGTTTGGTCTTGGTGCAATGGAAATAGGCATGACTTTCAGTTCATAACATTTACAGAAAATGAATATAACAGTAAAATGTAAGTTATGCGCTGGCAAATGCATTAAACACATCTCTCAAGCACATTAAATGGCACAAATGCTCTGTCAGCACTTGACATGGTACCCGGCCCACATTAAACTCTCCTCTTATGAGCCTCTTTTGAAACGGTTAAGGTAAAGTGCTCTCATGCTTTGAACAGCTTGGGTTGTGTGCTTTCACCATTTTTCAAATTCGTCTTATCATACAAACATTCTTTTCACTACTTTAAGTAACGTTAATAACAGATGTTCTCCACATCACAACACACAAAATCCAACTAATCCATTATAAAAAAAATTGTCATCCTCCAGATTGGCTTGTGATACTGTGAAATTCACCTGTCAGATATAAAATGTATCCACGTTTGGTGCTTGATGGGTGTTTATTTGGGACCCTGGCCAACTGTAGTGACCGTTCAGGACACATGGCAGTTAAACAGCCATGGGTAATCGGTCACTCTGCTGACTGAACACAGTGAGAGCTAACACATCAGACAGGATTTGTGCTCATGCGTGTGAACGTAGGACGCAAAGATCACTCAGCCTGACCGTCCCTGTCAGAGAAACACACAGGTTCAGAGAGCAGCTACAGTGAGCCGAGGGAAACGCTGAGAACAGCACTCTGTCTGGTGTGACCTCCTTATAACACCCACTAATCTCTCTTTGTCTTTCTGCTGCTTTCTCAGCCTGTCTACCTTCCAGCTCTCTACATCTTTTTCATTTATATTTTGAGGTACCCACAGTCCCACTCGCGTCTACACAGCTATAAATTCTCACCTGCCTCGTCGGTATATCTCCATATGTATTTATGCTAATGGTTTCATGGAGTTGTGCTCCACTTTTCAAGAAATGGAAGGAAAGTTTTTTGTGGAAACACGTATCTTGCAATAACCCTGTGGCAGCAGCACAGATCACACGGTCCTGTTGGAGAAGTGAAAGCTGAAGTCATGTCCAGCCACAGGGTGTCTGAACAAATCACGTTCACACTTTACCGAGATGCTTTGTGGTTGTGAAAGCACCCAAGCTGCGGTGATTTGTGAAGGCTTGCCCAGAACCTGATATGTCCTACTTCTGCCCAGCAGTCTGCAAAGAGAAATGTTGTGATGATTGTTGCAGGGTCGTCTATAGCTTACAGTTGCCTCATATGTGTGTCTCTAAGTGCTGAATTTTGATTGTTTCTCTAAATGTTCTGGCTTTTAATTTAGCATGTGGTTTTCAAATAAATATTTATATTCTCCCTCACTGTTTCCCAGCTAGACTCCCCATCCAATCTGCCTGCATTGTATGTAAATTAATCATCTCTAATATTGGCCTGTCATGTAGTTAATTAAATGCTGTTTTGATATATTTTGTGTACTCTCTTTTTTCCCTTTCTCTCTCTCTCTCACTCTCTCTGTATTTGTCCCCAAGTCTCTGTGGGGTATGAATATGAATCATGTCCTAGTCTGGTGCTGTGGGAGAAGAGGACTGCAATGCTTCAAGGCTATGAGCTGGAACCTTCAAATCTGGGCGGCTGGTCTCTGGACAAACACCATATACTCAACCTGCGCAGTGGTATGAGCCTCATGTTCTTGTACAGGGGCAAAATGCACCTCTTTTGTGTGTATGTATTTATTTATTTATTTAGATGGGGCATTAGTTGCAGCACTTGATCTCATAATGAAATAAGACATACCCAAAGGTGAACAATATATAAATAAAGTTTATTAGAAAAAATATTAGAGGGTCCCTTTAATCACTTTTAATTCTGGTTATTTATAGTATTATTTGATAAATATTTGAACTTAAATAAATGCTTGATAATTACGTGAACTGTAATAAGTAATTATACTCACTTAAAATTCTAATCTTGATTGTCACTAGTTAAACTGTACAGTAACTTTTCTGGACCTGTCTCAGACCCGCTAAGACCGAGATTTGAGGTGAGGAGAGGGCTATCCCTTTCTGACACACAGGAAGTCTGATGTGTTGTGATGCCTGGCTGCTTTCAGTGGAAGAGCCTGTCATTTTGATCAATAATTTAATGTAATGCTCTGAAAATGTGGTTGTAATGTTCAGAAATGGCTCAGGTAAACAGCTTTTACTAAAAATGGTCTTTTGAAAATAGCACTTTCTTTTTCCATTTAAATGGTTATTGTTTCTTTATTCATCTGACACCAGGCATCCTTCATAAGGGCAGCGGTGAGAACGTCTTTGTGTCCCAGCAGCCACCCATCATCACAAGCATCATGGGTAATGGGCGTCGACGAAGCATCTCTTGCCCGAGCTGTAATGGCCTGGCTGATGGAAATAAGCTGTTGGCACCTGTAGCCCTGGCAGCAGGCATTGATGGCAGCCTCTACGTTGGAGACTTAAATTTCGTACGCAGAGTTTATCCCAACCTCAATACCACACGCATACTGGAGCTCAGGTATTGAGAAAGGAGCAGAGGAAACTTCTGTTAGACCCGTTCACACCATGATAACTATAGTGCTATAATTCACTATAATTTAAAACCAAGTTTTTAAAATGATTCTAAATTTTTTTTAAAAGCAGTCCACAACTAATAACAATAACAGCTCAGGGGAACAATATCATTGGAATCACTTTCATTTTTTCCAGCTAATGATAAAAACATTAGCAGCCAATTAGAATTCATCCTGCTTTTAAAGGCTTGAGCATTTAAAGTGGCAGATGACAAAACTGCAGCACACACTTTTAATAAGCAAAATGTTATTGTGCGTTATTGTAGACGCTAATATAGTTATCGTCCTTGGGGGGGAATTTTACTTTTACCTAGATTTAATTGTTATATTTTTAAAATCAGTTTACTCCTAAATAAAATACACAGTATATATTTTATCATGATATATTGGAATCAGAATTATAATTCTTGTTCTTTTCTTCATTTACAGAAATAAAGATTTTCGACACAGGTGAGCCTTTAACTTAATTTCTTTCTCTTTAACTTAAATTAAATTATTCACTGAATATAAATATAGCGATAAAGCAACACATTATGCCTAATTGCAGCACTGACTCTGTAATGACCTCGTTTTTCGTAGTAACAACCCGACTCATAAGTACTTCCTGGCTGTGGACCCAGTCTCTGGGGCTCTGTTCATCTCTGACACAAATTCTCGGCGAATCTACAAGGTGCGATCGCTCACAGGGGGAAGACAGCTGGCTGACAATGCCGAAGTGGTGGCGGGCACAGGAGAACAGTGCCTGCCCTTTGATGAGAGATGCGGGGACGGGGGCAAAGCTGTAGAAGCCACTCTCATGAGCCCCAAAGGTGAGGTTGAAACATTGAAGAAAACCAAAACAGAAGCTAGATCTTATTACTTATTGCATGGGTTATCCCCTTCACATCAGATGAAATCACACTAACGTCTTCACATGTGTCTGTCTGAGGTGAAGAAATGTTTCTGCAGGCTGTCTTTACATCTGCTTCCTTTGTAGCAGTGACACCTAACATGGATAAAAAGAGCCTTATCCTCCAGCTGCTTCCACAATGACAGAGAACATTCAACCTTAAGCTATTAATTAATTTCTGAATGTGCTATGGGGAGTGTGAGTCTCCGGCTTCGATTATCGGAGTCTCTTGGTATTCTCTCTCTCTCTGTCTGTCTCTCAAGATAATATTACTTAATTGTGGTGGCTCTTTTAACTCTCATGTTACAGTTCAGAGCTGTAAGCGAGCGTTTTTCTGTATTATACAGCGTTGGTGTTAAGGTAGATCACACAGAAGGATATTTTTGGTGATTGTTTCAGACATTCTCAGTGAGATTAGGAGGAAGATTTCTGAATAAAGTCACGATGAAATGGAAGTATGACAGATCTTTACTTCCATATTGTGATGTACATCCAAGTGAAACAGATTTGTGCATTTAGCATTTAATTACTGATTGGATGGAGGCAGATTTGAATGAGAATTTGCAGCTGATTGTGGGCAGACTAAATGATCTCTTAAGTTGAGTCTTAAGTTGCAATCTCAACAATGTCTCACACTGTACATATCACAATATCACCAAACTCTGTAATCAAATGCCAGAGATATCGATATGAACTTGAATATTTCTCATCAAATGCTATCACACTCTATTACTGTATGTCAGTGGTCTCATTTGTGTCTATTTTCCCTCATAAAGTGGAGTAACATATCTCAGAACTTCAGAAATTCTCCTAAGTTGTGAAAGAGCAACAACTGAGCAATTAAATTTTCCTCTGGAGACTCTCTTTAGCTTGTGTTACAGTATATATAAACAAATTATTTTTTATTGGGTTTATACCAGTTCATAATTTCTTGCATTAATGACCAAGTAAACAGTAAATACGGGGTTCCTGCGGGGTATGGAAAAGTATGGAATTTGATTTAAGTATTTTCCAGGTCTGGAAAAGTATGGAAAAAAGAAAGCAGAGTATGGAAAAAAATATTTGTGTTTCCAGACTTTTGCCCCTATTTAGATTTTTATAATAGAAAATTAAGAATTTAATTAAAATAAATGTATCATACAAGAAGTTAGGTTTCATGGCAGCTGTTTAGTGATTGTCAAATGCGACTGAATGAAGTCACGGTGCACTTTTTCATTATGCAAAATGCAGGTTATAAGCATTTTGTGTTTCTTCACTATATTCTTAGCACTGTATTACATAGCCTCAAGGACCTTTTCAAAAATGAAAAATATACAGACTTTTATGTGCGCACAAGGAACCATTAAACTTAACATATAGGACAATGCACACTGATCTACCTATTGTGTGGTTTCTTGGCCGCCACAGAATATGCGTTAAAGAGACCTAGGGCCTTGAAATATGGCATAGTGCCCTAATGAAAGCCAAATTTCAAACACCTTTTTACAGTACCGCTCTTTTTTTAGAGACCCTTAAACTTGGCAAATTTTATGCCATCAGCCCATTTTGTGTCATGGTTTCTGCGCTGCCACAGAGGATGTGTTAAATTGGACATTAGGCCTTGATATTACAGGTACTACCATAAGAAAAGCCTAATTTTGAGCAAGTAGATCTCTATTAATTCATGTGCATCCATGCTCTTGTTTTATTCACATGGCAGTGATGCACAAAGAAAATAGGTTATATAAAACTAGAAATTGTAATGCGTAAGCATGTAAAAAATTCCCATGCGTATGTGAAAAGTTTCTCGAGGGCACAAAAAAGTTTCCTGTGTGCATGTAAAAGTCTTTATTTTTTTATTTATGTATTTTTAATTATTTTTTTATTTTAGGAGCACTGTATGTTGTCACTTGAAGAAAATCAATGAAAAACCTTGAGAAAATAAAAATATTTACAGATGACTGTACTATATACCAAATATAAAGCTGAAAATAAAGCACTATGAACCATTTATGTTAAATATGGTCTGAAAATCTGAGAGGTTCGGAAATTCGAGTCTGGAAAAGTATGGAATTTTGAAATGGAAAATGTGTAGGAACCCTGTAAATAAAATAACTGCTTAAATCTGCTTTTATGGATTCAGCATGCACACAATGGGTCACAAATTCAAAGTTCAACGTTCAAATTGAATTTAGTTCAAACTGGAATTGAAGCACAGCATATCCAACCAAAACAAATATAGCAACGAGAAAGGAAAAGATAAAGGTACAATGATAACTTGGAGCAGGTTTTAAACGTGAAATCCAGGTTTGGTGTAAGGAAAAAATAGCCAGTCTGACACCAAACTGTCAAGGATGTCACATTGTCACATTTTCTGTATGTGACGTTGAATTTGAGCTTCTGGAGAGAGAGAGAGTAAAGAGGTGACAGACTACACAGGCCTCATTACCGATTCCCAAATGACTTCACAGTGAAGAGGCTCAGTCAAGTGCACTCAGTCTCTCCCCTCATGCTGTTTGTCTCCCCGTCTTTTTGTTCAAACCCCTCTGCATCATACACCTACACAGGTCCATTCTATGAGCATCTTCTTGTCAGCACTTCGAGATATTCTCGTCTGCTCTGCCTTCGGTGTCTGATAAGGGGAATTGATGGGTTGACACAGGAGTGACGCTTGATGGACATGTATTATTTGCTAGCTTATATAGGACGGGCTTGGGAGGGAAAGACGAATTGAGCAGAGCCTGAAGATAAACTTAGAACTGGTTGAAACCAGATCAAAGATTCACTTGCTGTGATCATTAAGAACAGCAGAAGACAAAAATAAACGAGTCTGACAGGCAAAGGGTTTGTGAGTCTGCAATGCATCACCCCTGAACTTCCTGCTTGACTCTTGACCTGTTTGTTTCTCTTTTCAGGTATTGCTGTAGATAAAAACGGGCTTATGTACTTTGTGGATGCCACCATGATTAGGAAGGTGGATCAAAACGGCATCATCTCTACTCTCCTGGGCGCCAATGACCTCACTGCTGTGCGCCCACTGAGCTGTGATTCCAGCATGGATGTCAGTCAGGTCAGCAAGCCGACAGCCCATGTTATAAATTATTCACAGGCAGAAACAGGAGCTCGGAAGGTTCATTTGATCATAAAGTCTTCAAAACAGACCTTTTGAGCTGAACATGTAGATATGCAAGTATTAATCATGTCTAGCAGGCTTGCAAAAACTTGATCAGAAGCCCAGAAGATGATACAGTACATGGTTAATCTGAAAGCTTAATTTAAAAACTTTAAATTATTTTGTATCCAGGTACGCTTGGAGTGGCCCACCGACTTGGCAGTAAACCCCATGGATAACTCTCTGTATGTGCTAGAGAACAACGTTATTCTACGCATTACTGAAAACCACCAAGTGAGTATCATCGCGGGGCGTCCCATGCACTGTCAGGTGCCTGGCATTGACTATTCCCTTAGCAAACTGGCCATCCACTCCGCCCTGGAGAGCGCCACGGCTATCGCCATCTCCCATACGGGTGTGCTCTACATCACCGAGACGGACGAGAAGAAGATCAACCGCGTGCGGCAAGTTAGCACCAACGGAGAGATGTCACTGCTGGCTGGCGCTGTGTCAGAGTGCGACTGCAAGAACGACGTCAACTGTAACTGCTTTGCAGGAGACGACGGATATGCTACAGATGCCAACCTCAACTCCCCCATGTCTCTGGCCGTCTCACCGGATGGCACGCTCTACATTGCAGACCTCAATAACATTCGGATCCGGGCCGTGCGTACTAACCGACCAGGGCCTTCAGCGTTGGGCCGATATGAGGTCGCGTCCCCTCAGGAACAAGAGCTGTATGTGTTTAATGAGGAGGGTCTTCACCTACAGACCATCAGTCTTGTGACGGGTCTGCCTCTCTACAACTTCAGCTACAGCCCTGATGGAGAGCTGACCACAGTGGTGGATAACTGCAATAATACGGTGAAAGTGCGGAGGGACGGAGCAGGGCAGGGAGGAGCGGGACTGCTCAGGCTCATCCTGCAGCCTGAGAATCAGGTGGTTACGCTGGGACTGGATCCTGCAGGAAGCCTGCGCTCCATCTCTGCTCTCAACCAGGAGATCGTTCTGCTGGGATACAATGGAAACACTGGTTTGTTGGCTACCAAGGCTGATGAGACTGGCTGGACAACCTTTTATGAGTAAGTTGCCATGTGTCTGTGGTTTATGTAGCATGCACATTTAAATCTTTGTATATGCATGAAACACTCAACAGAAGTTTTATTTAGCATTGTCTTCACGTTCCTATCTGCCCAAGGAGATATGCAAAGTTAATGATAAACATTCACTTTTAAGCAAATAAAATGTGTTAGTGAGTCAAGACTTTTACAGTAGTTGATCAAACCTGTTTAGCAAATGTTTACAGAGGCAGGTGGGAAACACTGTGAATTATCCTATCTGGTGATAATCATACACTTAAAAAAAAAGATAGAAATGTCACTTTTTTTGTTTTTATGCACTACCATTCAAAAGTTGGGGCCAGTATGTTTTGTTTGTTAACTGTTTTTTTTTATCATTAATAATATGCATTTCTTGAGCTTTGCCATAACAGGAATACATTACCTTTTTAAAATATGTTAAAAGAGGGAACAGCTATTTTGAATTGTAACAATATTTATTACTGTATTCTTTGTCAAATAAATGCAGCCTTGGTGAGCTTAAAAGACTTTTTCAAAAACATTTAAAAATATTACTAACCCCAAACATTTGAATGGTAGTGTGTCATGGAGCACTTTGGTTGAAAGCTAGAGATATCCAGTAGGAATATCCCTTATTTGACTTTGAAAAGAGTGCTGGATAAATTCCTCTTTCCTGCAGAGTTCTGTTGCAACCCAGCAACACACCTGCCTGTAATTTCCAAGGGACCCTGAAGATCTTGATTAACTTTTTCAGGTGTGTTTGATTAGAGTTGGAACACTCTGCAGGAAAGTAAATCTCCAGGAACAGGACAACGCAAGCTTGCTCCTGAGAATGCAGAATTCCCCACACTCCACTGCACTGGCACAGACATCAGCCAGACTGTGACAGATCTGTGGCAGGATCCAGATCTGCTCCCTAATGTAATGTTACACAGAGAGAGAGAGAAACAGGCAGGGATTGCACTGAACCTCTATGGGGTGATTGTCTGGAGGACAGCTTTTTTTTTTGAGATGGTCAAAGATTGGGTGTAATTATGATTGTCTCCAGTGCTTTACAAATATGAATTTGAAAATGGATTTTGCTAACATTTAGTTGTACTTTCAGGTATGACAGTGAAGGAAGGCTAACCAATGTGACGTACCCCACGGGGATGGTTACAAGTCTGCATAGGGAGATCGAAAAATCCATCAACATTGACATTGAGAGCTCCAACAGAGATGATGACATCACTGTTATCACTAATCTTTCATCGGTAGAAGCGTCTTATACTGTTGTGCAAGGTATGTCTGCTCGCTAGTCGTTTTGAATTTGTATTGGGTTTTAGAAATCATTTTGTAAAAGATTCTCTGCTCAGTTTGGTTGGTTTCGTATTTCGTTTAGTTTTGAACTTAATTGTTTTATATATCATTGCATGCAAACTTACTCCGCAAGATACAGATACCCCCGACATCCATGTGGGAGGCTGGAAGCCAAAGTACTGTATGATTCAGTGCAGAAAACAGCATTTGTTTTCACTCCCATGCCTAGTGCTCCAGTTGTGTTTTGCTGTGATGCATATGATTCGAGACAAATTCATTACCTTATCCCAGGCAAATATTCACTGTCTTCCATATGCCCTCAACCACAAACCCCACTCTCCTAAAGCTTATTCCATCTGTTAAGATGAAAGGACAGAAAGTCAGAGCGAGAGAGCAACAATTCCTTCCCGTGGCAGACTAAACCAAAAACTCAAACTTCAATACAACCAGACACAGGATGAGGGAGGAACCTTCTCATTGAATTACTGAGGATTTAGTCCAAGGAGAACGTTCCTCAGATCACGCTTTTGAATCTAACCTTGACACACTCATGGGGCGAATAATAAATTGACTAAACACCTCTAAAAGGTTCCATATAAATTATAAACTATATTATCTCAAATTATGAACATACCTTGTGCTCATAAATTAGTTAGTGTAATTTATTTATAGTGGATGTTCTGAAGCATAATAAATGTTTGTGTCTCTCTGAAACAAAGGGATTTGAGGCTTCACATCATTTGTTATAAACAAAGCACTGCACTTGTTATCTTTTATGATCTTAAGAAAGACAGCCAAGACTGTTCTTGAGCTGATGAATGCCCCGCAGCCCTTTCATGAGTTCAGAATAAATCAAGCCTTTTTTGTAGTTGTCGTTTTGTACTCTTGTCATATTGAAAATTTGTTCTGAAATATTTTTTGTTCTTAATTTAATGGTAATTTGATGTCACTCTATTGCCCCCTGCAGATCAAGTACGGAACAGCTACCAACTGTGTAACAATGGCACTCTGAGAGTAATGTATGCCAATGGGATGGGCATCAGCTACCATACCGAGCCCCATATCCTGGCAGGATCAGTGAGTCCCACCATCGGCCGCAGGAACATCACCCTTCCCACTGATAACGGTCTGAACTCTATCGAGTGGAGGCTGCGCAAAGAACTGTCGAAGGGCAAGGTCACTGTGTTTGGCAGGAAACTTCGGGTGGGCACTCGCGCTAAGATTTTAATATCATTACTGTAATATATTATTTTTACATATCAGTGCACAATGTTTTCACAATGCAAAAAGGTTTTCATATCAAATATTTGTGAAATTTGCAGGCACATGGGCGCAACCTCCTGTCAATAGATTTTGATAGGAACACACGGACTGAGAAGATCTATGACGACCACAGGAAGTTCACACTGAGGATCACGTATGATGCCCAGGGCAGGCCAGCGATATGGCAGCCGAGCAGCAGCCTTGCAGTGGTGAATGTGTCTTACTCCAGCACAGGCCAGCTAGTGGGGCTGCACCGAGGAAGTATGAGTGAGAGAACAGAGTTTGACCCACAGGGCCGAATCCTCTCACGCTCTTTTGTGGATGGAAAGGTCTGGAGCTACAGTTACCTGGACAAGGTGAGATTAATGATTAAAGTGAGAGTAGGGTAAAGATGTATTTAGAAATTTCTTTAAGATGTATTTTTTTCTTATTTGCTTTTATTTAAAATTTTGAAATATACTGAAAATGTAAGTAAAATAAAATATTTTGTCAGATAATATACCATGAATTAGGATTTAAATCCTAATTTAAATTGTTAAATTAATAATTATGTTAATAATTATGATAATTATATTAATACTTGTTAATAAAACAAAATGTTGTTTAATTATAGTCCAGGTTTTTATTGTTAACTAAAACTTAAAAATTATTTATGCTCATTGAACTAAAGGCAAAATAAAATATAAATATTAGATTATAAACTTAAAAAGCTAAATGTAGAAATATAGAATATATATATTTTTAAAGTATTTAAAAAATATATATAATAAAAATGACATGCACAACAACAATATTACAACGTGTATATATATATATACACTAATCTACACCAAAAAATACACAGTATATTACAAAATACCTTCTGTAAATCAATTTGTAAATAAATTATTCCAACATTTAGTGCAGAAACTCTGATGCATGATTTCATTTTGAATTATGACAGCTTGTTAAAAGATGTTGTTGCGAATTAGGGTTGCAAAAAGGTGGAAAATTTCCAGTAAATTGCGGAAACATTCCAGAAATTTTGGAAACTTTCCAGGATATTTTTTGGAATATTCCTGGGATTTTTGGAAGGTTTCCGGAAATTTACCAGAAATGTTCCACCTCTTTGCAACCCTATTGCTAATTAATATCAATGTGATAATGATGTTGTGAAAATATTTCTCTCCACAGTCCATGGTGCTGCTCCTACAGAGTCAGAGACAATACATCTTTGAATTCGACGCGTCTAACCGCATCACGGCTGTCACCATGCCCAGCGTTGCCCGTCACACCATGTTCACTCACGTCTCCATCGGCTACATCCGCAACACCTACAACCCGCCAGAGAGCAACGCGTCCATCATCTACGACTTCAGCGAGGACGGACGCCCCCAGGCCACCTACTTCCTAGGTACTGGCCGTCGTGTGCTCTACAAATACGGCAAGCTGGCCAAGCTCTCCGAAATCCTGCATGACAGCACAGCCATCACCTTTGGCTACGACGAGACAGCCGGCGTGCTAAAAATGGTCAACTTGCAAAGCGGTGGCTTTTCATGCACGATTCGCTATCGTAAAATGGGTCCCCTGATTGACAAGCAGATCTATCGCTTCTCGGAGGAAGGTATGGTGAACGCGCGCTTCGACTACACCTACCACGACAATAGTTTCAGAATCGCAAGCATGAAGCCAGTAATCAGCGAGACACCACTTCCTGTGGATCTATACCGCTACGACGAGATCTCCGGAAAAGTGGAGCACTTTGGAAAGTTTGGCGTCATCTACTACGACATCAATCAGATAATCACCACTGCCGTCATGACCCTCAGCAAGCATTTCGACGCTCACGGCCGAATCAAAGAGGTTCAGTATGAGATCTTCCGCTCTCTTATGTACTGGATGACGGTGCAGTACGACAACATGGGCAGAGTAATCAAGCGAGAGCTAAAGATCGGCCCCTATGCCAACACCACGCAGTACCGCTACGAGTACGACAATGACGGACAACTCAGTGGCGTCAAGGTGAACGATTGGTCCACTTGGCGCTACAGCTACGACTTAAATGGCAACCTACACCTGCTCAACCCGGGTAACAGCGCCAGGCTCATGCCGCTCCGCTATGACCTACGAGACCGCATCACGCGACTGGGTGATGTCCAGTACCGTCTGGACGAGGACGGTTACCTCAGCCAGAGGGGCAGCGATGTGTTTGACTACAACTCTAAAGGCCAGCTGGTGCGCGCCTATAGCCGTGCAGCTGGAGCATGGAGCGTCCAGTACCGTTACGATGGACTCGGACGCAGGGTGTCTACTAAGAACAGTCTGGGTCAGCACCTCCAGTTCTTTTATGCTGACCTGAACAACCCGACTCGGGTCACGCATGTGTTCAACCACTCCAGCTCAGAAATCAGCTCTTTGTACTATGACCTGCAGGGCCATCTGTTTGCCATGGAGGTGAGCAGTGGGGAGGAGTACTACATTGCCTCTGACAACACCGGTACGCCACTTGCTGTCTTCAGCAGCAACGGGCAGATGATCAAACAGGTGCAATACACCGCTTATGGGGAGGTGTACCACGACTCCAACCCTGAGTTCCAGCTCGTCATCGGCTTCCACGGTGGGCTTTACGACTCGCTAACCAAGCTGGTGCATTTCACACAGAGAGACTATGATGTTTTAGCGGCCAGATGGACATCGCCTGATTACACCATGTGGCAGAAGATCGGAAAAGATCTGGCACCCTTTAACCTGTACATGTTCAAGAATAACAACCCTCTCAGTGACATGCTGGATGTCAAGAATTATGTCACAGGTGAGAACTTATAATTGGGTGCTGTTGCAGTTTAGCCAATTAGTGCATTAGGTCAATTTTACATGTTAATTAAATGCTAGTATTGGTTTATAAAATAATGTGATAAAAATATATATATATATTTTTTGCTAATGTTCAGTCATATTGAAATCAATGATATTCAGAAACTGTATAAGGTAGAGATGGTTCACTCTTACATATATGAATAGGAGAAATATTATATATGAAATTTATAAAATTTTATGTATATACACTACCATTCAGCAGTATGGGGTCAGTAAGTTTTTTTTTTTTCTTTTTAGGAAATTATTACTTTTATTCGGCAAAGACACATTAAATTGATCAAAAGGGACATTAAGGACATTTATGAAGTTAGATTAAAGAATCCTATTTTAAATATCATATATATATATATAAACCTTATTTTTATTAGAGAATCCTGAAATAAAAAGATATATAAAATATATATTTACTTATAAGTAAATATATATATATTAAGTTATATCACAACCATCTTCAACTAATTGTAATATTTCACAATATTATTGTTTTTATTAAATTTTTTTCAGCTTTGGTGCGCATAAGAGATTTTCTTTCAAAAACATAAACATTCTCCATCATCGGACGAGGGGTGATGCTGGCGGTGAAAGAAGGCCGTGTGGTCACAGGAGTCTCCAGCATGGCCAGCGATGACAGCAGGAAGGTGGCTCTGGTGCTCAATAATGCCATCTACTTAGACGGGACGCACTACACGCAGGATGGCCGTGACTGTCATTTCTTCGTGAAGATCGGCTCAGCTGACAGTGACCTTCTAGCTTTGGGACTCACCAATGGACGCAAGGCGCTGGAAAGTGGGATCAATGTGACGGTAAGCGGTCGCTCGCGAAGAGGGGTCACCGTTGAGTTCCGGGTTCCGGCGCTTTCTCTGAGCGTGCGCTATGGGTTGGCGTCGGACGTCCTGGATGAGGAGAGAGCTCGTCTGTTGGAGTTGGCTCGGCAGCGGGCGCTATCGGGAGCCTGGCTGCGAGAGCAGCAGCGGGCGCGGGATAATAAGGAGGGAAGCCGCTTGTGGACTGAAGGAGAGAGACAGCAGCTCCTTTCAACAGGGAAAGTGCAAGGGTACGACGGGTACTACATTTTACCCGTGGAACAGTATCCTGAACTAGCGGACAGCAGTTTCAACATCCAGTTCCTGAGACAGAATGAGATGGGGAAGAGGTAACAGTCCAAATCATTTGTTATCCCGTTTCTTTATATTTGGCTTTCTCTCCGCTTATACCTTTACCGTTTTCAGTTCTTTTCTCGATCTTTTTCTCTCTCTTGCTCCGTCTTTCTCTTTTTTTCCTCGCTTTTTTTTCCGTTATCTCTTGAACCCACGGAGAATAATTGAACTATTGGGCAAACTCACCGAACGCTGCAGGGACTTTTAAAAGAAGAACATTCAAAAACTTTGTTAATACTGCCTCTGGCAAAAAAAAAAAAGGAACAATTTGAAAGACTTCGTCTTTGTTTTTCAACAGTGGACGTCAAAAAGCACTGAGAAACTGAAAAACAAAACAGAGCTACTGTTGCTGAAATACGAAAAATCCCCTTTTTAAAAAAGAATAGATATTTTGACCCATATTTTTTGGGTTACCGAGAGGATGTTGGTGCCAGATGGTACGCTTGTGATCGTGTGATCTGGATCGGAGAGGTGCTGCGAGTCTCACGCGCCGCTGGAGAGGCCCAGTCTCGACGTCAGAACTGAGGAGTAACATCCGTCATGAGAAATGTCAGTCTCAGGCCTCACATTCTTCACAGCTAAACTGTCAATTGCCTCTGCAGCAAGTCCCATCATCTACAGACTGTTTCTTCAAGACAAATCCAGCGGAGTAAAAGTGATGAGAACATCCAAGTCTGGCATAGTTTGTTTCATCACTGATAGAAAAGTACAGTACTTGCATATCTGTATCTGATAACAGTGAAGTTCTGAGTGTGCTTTAGATGCGATAGTTTTGTACGTCCCAGTCGCATTAGAGTAACGAGACCTTCACCAGGGCACTTCTGTATAGAGATATCAGAAAAAGAAAAAAAAAAACACTCACAGACTCCAGATTGAAAGGTTACTAGTGTCAGAAACTATTTATTTTTTCTTAGTTTGTTTTAATTTTTATCATTCATAGTACTCTATGACAATCATAAAGGAGTCGCCGCTTTTAGCTACAAAGATGATGGTCGAGTTTATTTTCCTTTGTACGATATGTAATAATTTTACATTTTTGTATTAATTTACTTTTTTTTTTTTCCTTCGAAGCAAATTCTAGTCATACACAGAAATAATTTATGTAAAGTGTTTTAAAATGGTTTATACTTTAAATAAAGTTTAAAACTGTGAAATTTGTTTTTCAAAATATATCTGTATGTACAGTGTATAGATTTACCTTTATGCAGCACAGTAGAATATTGTTCATAATATCAACTTTTATATTTCTAACAGAAGGTGGCTTGTTATGTGCAAATCAACAGCTGGTATTAAAACACTAGAATTTTGTGACACTCAGATATCACAGATGGATAATATCGATACCCCGTTTGATGTTCTGTTTGTTTAGTTTTGTTTTAATGCAGAAAAGTTGCTGTACTAGAACCCAAACCATAGAAATGGATTCTTTCCACTGTGAAGAGACTCATTATGGATGTCATGATGTACCAAATCAGTATTGAGGGATGATTCTTACTCGAGTGAGACTCTTCTGAGACCTTACCAATAAATAGTTTAATTCATGTGAGTTCGGCTAGTCTCATGTATTTGTAAATGTCTTCACATCTGTATTGCTGTTGTATATTATGTCATTTCTCCACATCACATGAGGTAGAGAGTGATGGTAACATTAACTAAATGTCCCATGGTAATGTAGCAAAACTATGGCTTTTTGGATATGAACAATGGTAATACTATGTTTTACTTTATTGAACATATCCAATTGTAATATATGGAAGCACCACGGAATAAACAAGTAATCGGGACTTTTTTCCACTTGGAATTCTGAATTCTCACAATTCAGATTCGTAATTCTGACTTAGTTTTCTCTGAATTACGAGTCTGAATTGTGAGATAGAAAAGTCAAAAGAGTTTATTTCTCGGACTTTCTTCTTTCTTTCCGTCTCTGACTTTCTTTATTGAAGTTTTGAGTTTACATCCGCATTTCTTTTACATGCCTCAATTCTGACATTTTTATTTAAAAAATTACATAAACAAGGTAATAGCAACATTTCATCTCACATTTCAGACTTTTTTCTTGCAAGTGCGAGTTTATATACTGTATCATAATTCTTACATTATATCTTCCACTTCTGAGTTTATATCTCACAATTCTGACTTTTCTCTCTCTCATATAATCTTAGAGTTGAAGGGGGGGAAAAAAATCAAAATTGTGAGATAAAAAAAAAAAGTCTCAATCTTCTCTAAGTACCTTATTGGAGTACTATGTAAAGTGGTATTTGCCATATGATTCTATCAATATACCATTGCACTCCCATACAATGTTTGTAGGAGATTCCATCGGACTTTATTATGGTTTGCAGCAGTAACAATAATCTGATAGCCCGTAAAAGGTGTTTTGGTGAAATATGGTAAATTACACAATCAAGATTTTTAAGTGGGGATTATAAGCACTAGTTAATAATAATAATAATAACAGTTACTAGCACACTTTCTGTTGCTCATAATAATAACAACAACACATTTTTTATATTATTATTCAACTTGCAATGTAAGCAGTCTTTTATTTTGAAGCTACGGGTCTTTTATTATGAAGTTAACTCAAGGAGGGGCGCTTTTAAGGCGGTGCCTTTTACAAGACCACGCCCATGCTTACAGTACAGCCAATATGAGATGGCTATTAAAAACTTGAATAACAAGGAAGTACAGGTGTGACCATCACCACCCGGTGAACTGTCATAACTAACATGGCAAGCAGCGGTAAGTTTGTGCTCGTCTAAAAATAAGAAACATACTTTAAGAGAGTTAAATAAAGCGACGTGTGAAACTGCAGATTTGTTCACTGTTTCTGTGGCTTTGAGCAGCTGTTGTTTTCGTTGTCTGTTGTAGTCAGGGTGACAGTGCCCAGGTGCATCTGTGATTAACACTTCCATTATCTCTACATTTGATTACTTACAGTATAACAAGCTGAACGTTTTGTGCACTTGCTAGTATCCTGCGGTGCCCGTTCTCTCAATTCCATTTTATGCATTTTCTAATCATGCATGTCTGCTGTCCTGATCATTATTTTCATGACTTGTTCGCTTTAAAGAGCTAATAACCTTGTGACGTAAGGATGACTTGCAGTAAGTGAAATGCTTTATGTGTATGGAATGCAACACTTTCTTTGTTTTTGTTATGATTGAATCATTATTTGCATATAAACAGATATCGGACATCCATACATCAATAAATGTAAATCATAAAACAGAACTAGTAACCAAACAATTTACAAATAAATTAAATCTCGAGTAAACGGTATAATTTGGGTAAAATTATCTTTTTTAATAATCAAATATTTAGCATGTAAGGTATAATATAGTATATTTATTTATTTATGCATTTAGCAGACGCTTTTATCCAAAGTGACTTACAGTGCATTCAGGCTATACATTTTTTACACACACACACACACACACACACACACACACACACAGTGTTGGGGAAAGTTACTTTTAAAAGTAATGCATTACAAGATTGCATTACTCCCTAAAAGTAACTAATGTTACGTTAATTTGTGTTACTTTTTTTCATTTGGGCTGGGCTTGCTAATTTGTTTTTAATATAAAAAATTATATTTTTGGCTAATGTAAAGGCCCTTTCACACCAAAAGTGAAACGAATACGCCTCAGCCATTCTGGATTGCATGAAGCATAGAATGCAGGTGAAGTTAAACACTCTTCAGCAATGAAACATAAAGAAAGAAAAACAAATGTCATGTTTATTTTAAGTCATTTTTGCTTATTAATATGGCTGAATTGGATCATCGAAGGTCGGCACTCGGCAGCAAAGATATTGATTAATAAAATGTGATTAAATGCATAAAATATATTTGTGTTATTTAATACATTTAATTATTGCAGGTTTGCATTGCACTGTTTTCATTCATTTTGAGGAATACTGAATCTGTTTTTGTGCAAGTGAGATGAGTAAATGCATGTTCACATTTAGTCTAGAACTACAGTAACATCTTGTTCACACAGCGCCTCTGCACTTACTCCCGATTTCTCTCAACATGGGGACAGGAGAGCTGTCAGTCAATGAATGGGAAAACAAAGTAACTGGAGTTACTTATTTGAAAAAGTAACTCCGATATTTTATTGTAAATTAAAAAGTAATGCGTTACTTTACTAGTTACTTAAAAAAGTAATCTGATTACGTAACTCGCATTACTTGTAATGTGTTACCCCCAACACTGTGTGTGTGTGTGTGTGTGTGTGTGTGTGTGTGTGTGTGTATATATATATATATATATATATAAACAAACAAACTTGAGTTTTGTTATAGTATTACGTTTGTTGATTACTGAGCTCAGTCAACAGTGTTTATTTCGTGACAGGAATGTAGGCATAGCTGCTTGATTGTACACATTCCTCTTTGCAATAGATAAGGAGATTTCCTACAGTGATCTCAAAGCTCTCTTGGCGAAGGGTTCAGGGCTTGTTGTGGATGTCCGCAGTAAAGATGAGGTAGATAGAGGGCGTATTCCTGGCTCCATCCATATCCCAGGTAAGAGAGATGGACACCTGATTGCATGCATTGCATCATGTTACACAAGAAGCACATTTGTAGGGGACCTAAAATGAAAAACAAAAGCACGCACATCACTGGAAAAACTCTCAAACAGGGTGCTTGACAAAAATATTGATAATGAAACAGGTAGACATATTGTTTGGGGCTAGATGTGCAAAAAAAAAAATTCTCTGTTTACATTTGTATTGGCCATGTGTACTAAAAAAAGAGAGCTTGCTTCTTTTTTTTAGTGGAAAATGTTGAAAGTGACATATCCTTGGACGCATCTGAATTCCATTCGAAGTTTGGCGTAGTTAAGCCGTCTCTGGACAGCTCTGAACTGGTTTTCCACTGTCAGATGGGAAAACGCGGAGATGTTGCCACAGAGAAAGCCAGAGGCCTGGGCTTCAAGAAGTAAGAGACTTGGCATCATGAATGCTTAAACAATCACAGTTTTGCTAAAGCTGTAACAATAAGTCCTTCTCTCTCTTCAGGGCCCGTAATTATGCTGGGGGCTACAAGGAATGGTCAGACAAAGGAGGCAAGTGACGATCCTCAGAGCTCCTGAAACTCTGAAGATTCCAGCTTAAATCAGGGACCGTTTTTCACTTATGCAACTTAATGCTAATCATAATATTTGTGCATGTATTTGAATAAAGTCTGATGGTTAAACACATGCCCTTGTCTCTTTAAATGTATGAAAACTGGTAAGTTTCGGTCCGTACTGGTTCAGATCCAATAGCCGATGATTCAGTTACATTGTTTCCGATGCGTTTCCTCGTTTAGTTGCACGTGCGCATCAGCTTTCACCCTAATGCAGCAACAACACTTCCAAGCGAAATGTTGATATGGTGGTAATTAATGGACACTTACATTGATCTCTGTCAGTCATTCGGGTAATATACTGCTGATGTCTTTATTAAATAAATAGATGCAGTGTTAGATCAGTGTTTGAATCACATAACAATCGTGTTTGAAGTCGACTTTTTGTGCATTCAACGTCTTGCTTGTGTGTATGTCTGATTTAGATATGTATTATATACCCTAACGTTAAAATAGTTTCGTAGTCATGATGACTAACATTAGGTCTTCATGTCTAGTGTGCCCCTCTGGGTGGGGCCGTTGCTCCACGCGGCCTCCAGGCTGAAGAAGACAGACCGGATCAAACGAAGAAAAGTGTATCGTTTAATCCAGCGTCAGTTAGTAAGCATCATTTTGTATTGCATTCTAATTTTGTACTTTACTTCGGGTGATCTTAACGCAAATGTTGACAGCTGAACAGGATCGGCTGCAGCACACGTGACAAATGCACATATGTGTACCCAGCTGAGCTCAAAGAGGTGGTCCGAGCAGCCTTTCCCAACGACATCTGTGACTATGAAGACCCCTGTCACGAAAATGTGAGATATAGGCTACACCTTAAGTTCGCGTTGGTTCTTAAAACATTTACAGTTAAAAGTGTCATTACAACTGCTTCGCTTTTGTTGCAGGTTGTTGCCATCACTATGGATGACTTGAAAAGGATGTCGTTTTCTTGATTGAGATCAACTGCAGTTGCAGTCTATTTGAAATGGTTTTGTACATTTCACAGTATACGGTGTTTATATGTTCATAGAAATGCAAAGTGTGGTCATTTAAAGTACATATATTCATATAAAGTAGTTCGGTGTCCATAAATAGGATTTTGTAACATTTTTCAGCGAGTTTTTTCCTAAACATGTGTTCGCTACTGTTGCGCGTGGAGTTTTCATTTCACTGCAATACCCAGAATTCCTCCTGGTTTGCGTCACAGGTTTTGATGTGCAGGTAGAAAAAATACATACGCTATTATTTATCCAAAACGTTATGTTTTTAGTGTAATTTGTCAAATGTTTGTGTTGTTAAATGCGTTACCCTCATGAACGACTCTGACAGTCCGGCTTACTGAGTACCTGACCTGCTGGACTCCATGACAACCTACACAACCTACACGAACACCACAGCACTGGAGTTATTATTTCCATTAGGCTACTGACTGTTTAACACAGGGCATTACATAATTCGAGGTATGTATATGGACCTGTATTTATTAGTGCAAGAATGCATAGGCTAGCCTATTGTATATAGAGTTGCTTAAAGGAACTATCGCTTGATGATCTGCATAAGTCCATTCATATTTCCACATTCACATCTCTCTGTCTTATGGCTTTCCCCCCCCAAAAAAATTGCTGTATATAAAACTTTAGAAAATGCCTCCAGAAGGGAAATCTGACATGGAGCGGATTGGCATCTTTAAAGAGTTGGGATACATCTCAATAGGGGACAAATATACACCGTTCATTTACCGTAAGTGTAACCAACATTAAAGTTTAATAGTATGAGCTACAGTAGCTGGTGCAGTGCTGAGTTTGTTGCATAGAGTGCGAAAACAAATTGTACCACGGTAACGTCAAAATACAATGTTCATTATAGAAAAATCACAAACACTATTTATTTACAATAGTGCAGCTTTCACAGTCTTTAACGTGGTTGTTGTTGTTTTTTTACTAATGGATTTGGCGTCCAAAAGTAATAGTTTTAGTTGTTGTAACAGTCGCCGTTTTGGCGAACAGGTTCACTTCGCCAGTTTTTGAAGGGTTGTTGTTCACCGTGGAGGCTTGTTGTTACTTGTCATATTTTTACACCAGCGAATATTTCTGAAGTCAGTTTAAAGGCACTAAAAGTCTTGGCTTTAATAACTTGTCCTGAACGTAAATCTAATGAGAACACCGAGTTAAAACCTTCATTATGTAGCTCAGTCATTCTTGAGAAGTGGGGCAAAATTTAAAAAATAAAACCTTGTACTCAGACAAATGAAACTACATTTATGTATCTTATATGTACTAAGCTACTGAGCTATGCTTTGATATAACCTCCCAACTTTTCTCTTTTTTAACAAAATTTGCTTTTTTTTACCTTGGACTGTGCAATATAATGTCAACTTTATCTTTAACAGCATTCAAGATGTTTTTAACATTTCAAAACACATTCTCGTGTTAGCAGACAGATTACACGTTCACATGTGACCAACAATTCCACAAATATCAAATATCATAATGAAATTATCAAAATATTCAACTGACGGAGGTGACGAAAACCTGAATTTGTAGACATTTTAACTATCAAATACATTGAATCAGTCTATTACTGTATTATAAAGCTTTTATTCAAGAGTCACATTTAAGTATTTTGATATATCACTGGAACACAAAATCTTATGGTGGTGACATCTGACGGCATTGACAAATTTGGCATTTCTTTCACAAAACCAATGGAGTTCATGTAGTAGCCATTTTATTTGTTTCTGTTGATGCTAGATGCTAATGGAACCTGCTTCAGGAGAATACAATTATCTAAATATTTCAAATAATTTCCTCAGAAATTGGAAGATGGTGTTGACATATCATGGCTGTGACAAAGGAAATATTAACATTAGGATTTACAAAATGCTAAAACTAAAACTTAGCAGAGCCTGTCTGACACTGATGTACTCTGCAGAGGTGAACTGTGGCAAGGGGGGTCCTTTAGAGTGACCGCTGCCCCTGATATTCTCTGATTTTATTACATTTTATTGAATGTCTGACGGTGTTGACAAAAAGTGGGGACGCAACTTTAAAATCTTATGAAACATGCATGTGTCATTAAAAAAACGAACTTGCTTTGATAGGATATATTATTAAGTGTTGCTTTTGATAAAACAAGCTCTTTTTCATCATTAAAAAAACATTTTTATCCATTTTATTGCATATGAATGATTGAACCCTTCTCTGTGGACACACTGTTTTAGATGTAGTGAGAGGACATTAAGAAACTGGTATAATAATGAGAAAATTAAATCGAAGGTGATAATGGTGTTAAATACATTCTATTATTAATCCATCATGACATTTAAAATTTAAAATATTTTAATTTTTTAAAGCTAATAGCAGTTACCCTTGCTGGACCTGTTTTGTCCCACGTCTCAAGAATGACTGAGTTGACTCTTGTCGGAATGTGTCAGTGTGATTACTGTATATTGTTTAGCTAGTAGTTTACCTAACAGCCATTACAAACATGTAATGTTTGTAACCCGCATACATTAGGCTACTAAAACTCAGCTAGAGACAATAAGCATATGTGTAACTGGATAAACGTGTACAGTAGCCTACAACATACACATGGGTTAATGTGACAACTAGCCCCGCCCCAGCATAATATAGAAAATTAAAAAAAAAGTTAATAGTTTTGCAAAATATTTAATGTCTGTCTCATGCACTTTGTTTGTCACTAAAAGGCCCATTTAATGACTCCGCATACAAGAACAAACAGATGTTGTCAGGACCAGGTAAATCAAAGAGCGCGCTCCAGGTGGGATACTTCGACACACAGTTTAAGAGGATCTTTGAGAGAGAGGCGCTCACAGACCCTGTCAAAATAGAAAGACAGTACAGGATACAACAGACCAAAAGGAACATAGGCAAAGCCTTTCTTCCCAGTAACGGAGAGAAAAAAACGTGAGTTCCTTTTTTTTCTGTGGCACATGGCACATTTTTATTTATTTATGTATGTATATATGCATTTTCATTTAAAAAAAATTGTTTTATGTGATAATTGTGAAAATATACGACGAAAATAGTAGTAGTCGTCGTCGTAGTAGTATTGTGGTCATTGTTGTTGTGACAATGGACAAAATCTAAAAAGGGATAGTCCACCCAAAAATGAAAAACGTCTATCATTTACCCGCCTTCATTTTATTTTAAACCTGTATCACTTTCTTCTACGGAGCAAAAAGAAGACATTTTGAAGAATGTTGGTAACCAAACAATTTTGTCGACCATTGACTGGTCGACAAAATGTATGGAGAAAATATCTTTATATTCAACAAATGAAAAAAATCATACAGGTTTGAACGACATAAGGGTGAGTAAATAATCAATAACCAGAATTTTTATTTTTGGGTGAACTATCCCTTTAATTTGTAATAGCTTTATTGACTGGTGTACTGGTGCAGATTTTATCCAGAGAGAGATATTCAGTCTTTACACCAAGGAGAACAATGTTGCACCTGAGATGTATTTGGTTCAGTGATATTTCATTAGTGTGAGAGGTAGGCATTGGTTGGCATGGTCTATTAAAATCTGAAGACATAAAAACACTCCAGAAACAAGATTTTGTCGAGAAAGAAACATGCTTTGTGCTTTTTAATGATGTTTGTTGACCTGAAAACAAGATATAGTCCTTAAGTTTTCAAAGAAAAGGATTTCACCATGTTGCAATAGTTCAAAGCATCAAATGCAAGCAGTCTGGGTTTCATGTGCATCTGAGAGGAATAATAGCTTGAGTGAGCCATTAAGGTTGCTAGTCACAGAACTAGGTAGATGTCTGTATTTTTGTTGTTGATTTTTTTCTTCTTATTTTCCCTATTTATAGCAGAAAAAACTGCCATGCAGCTTACAGTTTTTCCAGTTATTCCTGAAACTGTTCTTACAGTTGCTAAATGGTTTTCCCTGATTTGTAGATGTGGAGTGGGCAGCTATTATGGGACATTTGGAGGCCCCATTCAAGCAATGAGTGCCCTACAGAATCCAAGGAAACCAAACAAATCACCTGGAAAAAACATCTACAGCAATCCGCCCAAGAAGGGAAGTGGTTACGGGTAAGCAAATGACATTTCAAAGCATCAAATGCAAGCAGTCTGGGTTTCATGTGCATCTGAGAGGAATAATAGCCAGAGGAATAATAGCTTGAGTGAGCCATTAAGGTTGCTAGTCACAGAACTAGGTAGATGTCTGTATTTTTGTTGTTGATTTTTTTTCTTCTTATTTTCCCTATTTATAGGAGAAAAAACTGCCATGCAGCTTACAGTTTTTCCAGTTATTCCTGAAACTGTTCTTACAGTTGCTAAATGGTTTTCCCTGATTTGTAGATGTGGAGTGGGCAGCTATTATGGGACATTTGGAGGCCCCATTCAAGCAATGAGTGCCCTACAGAATCCAAGGAAACCAAACAAATCACCTGGAAAAAACATCTACAGCAATCCGCCCAAGAAGGGAAGTGGTTACGGGTAAGCAAATGACATTATCCTCTAATGTGCCAGTTTCTGTGGTTTTGCTGTCAAACGTATTGATTTGTCCTTGCGCCCTAATAGCTATCCTGACGTCACCCTCTCCAAGATGGTGTCCCATTCCTCAGACCCCTATGACAGAGCCAAGGAAATGCTAAAGGTATTTTTAGGTCTACCTAAATGAGATTTTTAATCAGACTCCCGGGTCCTTGTTTTAATTAAGATAAGGCGTCCTCTGAGTACCTGACAGTATAATTCTATGCAAGCAGATGACTGTTCTCTTTCTCTAATGAGAGAGATAATTTGTTTACCAGCGTGAGATCATGGCACACAAATCCATGCTAAAAGGGGGAGCGTTTCGTTTGAACCTTCATCCAGTTGAATGCTTTGACAGCAATCCTTACAAATTTGACAAACCTCTACCACCTCCAAAGAAGACAGAGGAGAAAAAGCACATTACGGTGCCCTTCAAACCAAGTTCGCCCAGTAAAAAGGTATGTAAAGGAGATCAAACACAGTGTAAAAATGTTCATGAAATGAATATGGAAAGAGTTGCCATCTTGGAACATTTTGGTGGCGTATTTATTTTTTGCAGACTGGAGGTATGAAAGCAGGAGCGTTTGATTCCTACCCCATCTACTCTGCAGAACCCTATGGTTCCAAAAAGACCAAATCAGCAATGATGAATAAGGAAGTAAAAATATTTCATCCCTCCCCTGGTCCAAAGAGCACACCTGTCAAGAGCATCATCAGCCTCAATGTCAATAAGTAAGCTGAGCTCCAGGAACTAGCACCAAGACACTCATATCACACTCTAAAAAGTGCTTAATGCTTAGCATAATAATCACTAATATCAGTTGCTGACTAAGTTCCACAGAGTAAGACACTTCAGGCTCACAGTAATGTAAATTACTTTATTTTACAGAGCTGTGAACTCCACAAACTACAACCGAATCCCCTCTGTGATGGCGTATTAAGAACGTGTGATGTCTTCAGGTGAATAAATGAATGTCACATATTGGTCTTTAGATGAGAAAGCTACAATTTTGAATTGTATTCACATCATTCTCTTAACTGATAAAGATAAACTCAAAAAACCTCATGTTATGCTCAAGATGAACTAAAAGAGCTTATGCTCAGTACTACTACCCAAGAAAAAAATACTTGTTTCATAGCATCTAGAGATGTTTAACCACTGTGTACCATTTTGTCAGTAGTCCACTGAGACACTTTTGTCTAAAATCACAAATTATTAAACATTAAAAACACATAGTATGTATTTAACCAGCAAGGTGTTTGGCCAATTCAGTAAGCTCTTAAATTTTTACAAATAATTTCAAATGTCTCATAATTTACAATGTTGTGATATAATAAACCTTTCATCTTATGTGTTCTAAAACATGCATGGTCTTAAAGGGATAGCTGAGTAAATTATGACAGTTTTCTGATTGTGTGAACTATGCCTATAAGTTCATTTAGAAACATGAGAATTGAAAAAAAAAAATAATGCAGCACAAGTAATATAAATTATATATATATTAAAAAAAACATTAAAAATAATTTGTACTGGGAACCCGATTACCAAATACTTTGTACCTGGATGATGGCATATTTAAACCTGTATTAAAAGCAAAATTATCTTTCTTTCATATTTTAGAATAACTGAAACCTAAAGGTAGTTTATAGTTTGTTTAATTTCAGTATTTGCTCTGCACAGAAGACTAATATGTGAGAAATGGGAGAGTCAATTAACAGCTTTTCAACAAGAACTAGATTAAGGCCTTAAGAAAGAGTTTTGTTAGTATAGATCCCATTTACACCTAGCATTAACTGTGATCAGATCACAAGTTGTCAGTGCTCAAAATGCTTTGTGGGGTCTTACATGTTTTGGAATTGTATCAGTGAACCATGCAAAGGTAGTCAGAAACACATGTGAACACACTGCTTTTAAATTCAGTCCATCCTGAATGCTTCCCGAACCACAGTGAAGCAATGCCTAATGCATGTTAATACCAGGTGTAAACAGTAATGTAGTAATGATCCGATCACTAAAAACATCTTAATACCTTGTGTATATGGCTTTAAATTGGCCTTGCATTTCTTTTTATAAACTAAGAAATGAATAACAGAACATCAACAAGCAATAATCGCAATCAACACCAGTTGTCTAATTTCAACTGTCAGTCCCTCTAAGCAGTAGGATATACAGTAACTAGATCATGTCCCTCAGGTGGGGTCATTCGCATTCGAGCATGGGCTTCACAGTACATCTGTCCCTCCACAAAAAAGTAGCCCTTCTGCTTCAAGTTCAAGCCGCAGTCTGAGCACACGAAACAGGCTGGATGGCGGTACTTGTCCCGAGCTTTCACCACCGGTCCACTGTGAGCCAATTGTAGAAAAACTTTAATTTAATGAAGTTGTTAAAATGCATGAATACTATTCAGTGTAGAACAATTTTCATGAAAATTGGTACTATATTCTCAATGAAGATACCATCTGTATGGTCTCGTGCTGAATGCCGTACTCACACAATGCCAGTGCCACATTTATCACAGAGAGGCAGCTTCTGGAGTGAGGAAGTGGCAGCTTGGGGCTTTGTCACTGGGGCTTTTACACTTCTAGTCACTATGGGCCTTGTGCCTGTCAGAGGAATAAAGAGTCTCAGATTCACTTTGGCAATGTGAAATTCTCCCTCATACTGAATCCAGACTATTACGAGAACAGCGGGCTCTGACTGACATCATTAGCAGGATTGTTGAGAATAGTGAAGGCAGCTTAAATCAAATTGAGCCCGCAAAACTATTACTCCTCAAGTGCATCTGTAGTTCACCAGAATATTTGCTGACATTTAAACTTTGACATCTTTATCAGTGCAGCAAGCTGTAATTTATGTGTTGTGAAGTAACCGATAAAGGCAGCTCACCATCACTCTCCACATAGTCTTGCAGAGCCTTAAACGATCCAGACTGACGTGGTTCATGTGGCTGCTCTTGGTTGTCCTGGAGCATACGGTACACATGAGAGTCTTCAATGGACGTCAGGGGTATAGGGCTGAAAACAAATAAAGGCAGAAGCCCACAATGTTTGTCCATGAAGTAAAAAAACAACAAAAAAAACATGATTCTGTGTTATATAAAAGTTTATGACACATTATGAATATTAGATGCTGGCTATGGTATAAAATAAGTTTAAAGAATGTCCTGGATTCAATTCAGCATCAACATGCTGTCGATTACCACAGTTGGTGTTGTTTGAATTGTAAAGCTGTCTAAATCATAACTTAGCAGTGGAGCTACTGTTCTTAGTCAATTAATTTCTATTTATTTTGTGTTTTCTGTGTTTAACATGGTCATAGCATGTTTTGAAACTAGTCTCATATAAACCCATGTTTGTCTTGTGTGCATTTATGCATTGCCCCATAGACTTTCATTGTAAATAAAGTAAACAATCTTTTTTTTGGTCATGCTTATTTCAGTTTCATCGCATATTGACCAGAACCAATATTCCTTATGTAGAAGTTTCCATTACTAATATTTAATTACAGGCCTACAGTCTTGGAAAATAAAGGTTCCAAACAGGGGATTTTCACTGTGGTGCCTTAAAATAACTATTTTAGGTTCCCAGTGAGCCTTTCAGTGAACAGTTAGTAAAAGAAAAATGTTTTCTTAGTGTGAAAAACATTTTAAAAATCCAAAGAACCCTTTTTCCCATGGAAAGTTTGCATGGATGTTAAAGGTCTGGATCTGGAACCACAGATGCCATTAAAGGACCTTTATTTTTAGAGTGCACATTTGCAGTATTTTCCTTTTTTTGTAGGAACCCTGTGTCTTTAATCTATCAGGTCCTTATTCAGCTATGCTTACTGTAGTAGCACAAGCTAGTAGATTTGTAAGGTGGTGTAAACAAAGCTCTGGTTACCTGGGCGATGCCTGCCTGACTACAGTGGACATCTGAGCCTGCTGCAGTGTATTTGAGACATTGTCTGCTGAGTATAATGCAATGGGGGCGTTATACTGTGCAGAGAGAGCTGCCTTGGACCCAGCCGACGGGGTGCCAGGCATCTGAGCTACATTTCCCTTCAGCGTCTGGGATGTAGTGTCCCTGGAGTTGTGTAAGGTCAGTGTATAATAGCCAGGTGAACCAAACCAGGAAGCAATCAAATCAGTGGGGCCACACAGAAAAGGACAAACAAGACAGAAAAGAATGGAAGAAGTAGTTAGAGATGTACATAGAGCTTCAGTATATACTGTGCTGCAGCTTTATAGCTGAATGAATGCATGAATGTAAAAATGTACAAATTCTACTGTTATCAAATGACCATATTTGACTACATGTAGGGTGCTTTTGTCTAATGACCTCTTTTGGCTTGCAGATATGAAGGGCTTTGGTCTGACATTAAACTTGTGTTCGAAGTAATCAATGTCCTGTAAGACATAAGAGCGAAGATGTGAATAGACAGTTAGAGGTGAAAGGTAAAGGAGCAGAAGTCCTCCAAGATCCAACTCTGCAGGCCCAAATGTGAATATTTGTTCTGCTATAATATACTAGTATGAAAGTATTAGATAAGGGGTTGCCCTTTCTTATAGATAATCTAGATGATCTAACAGAACCCAATTAACTTCTTTCCATCATAATTCTCTATCCAAATGCTTATATTCGGGCTGCAGGAAGACTTGTGTGGACTTCTGGAGGATCCGAGTGTGTGTTAGTGGTAAGTGGGCAGCCGGCCTGCAACAAGCAGGGAGAAGTATCTTAGTCCATATGGTTGGGGTGATCCATGTTGGCACTCACCCCTCAGGCTTTTCATGCACCAGACCCCGGGTCTGTCCTTGCAGGGCGTCCTGGATGTTATCTTGAGAGTAGAGGCCTATGGGAGTGTTGTAGGTGGAGCTCACCACCTGCGTTTTGTCATCCAGACTGGCGGCAGCCACAAAGGGCTGTGCTCTTCTGTTATGACCTGTGCCAATAGGTTTATACTCCTGCATGTGTAGGACAGATGGACACACTACATACTCAAAGCCCCACACAAACACCACATTTGCATACCACATTCTGCAGATAAGTCCTTTAGATGCTGCATATGCTTGAACTCATTTACATTTTTCTAATCTGTTATATTGTTTTTCAAGCTGTCACATTTTTCTTTTCTTTTTCTTTTTTTCTTTATTACATCACTTGCTCACCAGTGGATCCTCTGCAGTGAATGTGTGCCGTCAGAATGAGAGTTCAAAAAGCTAAAAAACAACACAATAATCCACACGACTCCAGTCAATTAACATTTTTTACTTTAAACCATTGCTTCCAACTTAAATACAAGTTATTTTTTCATAATATTGGTTCCAGTGGGGGGGGGGAGACTGAATCAGGAGAGAAATATGTTTTTCTCTTATATTTCTTACAAACAAGCACTGGTGTCAAGTGGATTACTTGTGAATTATTATGTTTTTTTTAATCAGCTGTTTGAACTCTCATTCTGACGGAACCCATTCACTGCAGAGGATCCAGTGGATTTAGCAAATTTCCATTTCTAGGTGAACTTTTCCTGTACAAGGACAAATCAAACAAAAAATAGCAGCTTAGCACAGTTTATGAAGGGATACCCAAAAATGAAAATCCTCTCATCATTTATTCACCCTCGCGTGGTCCCAGATGCATTATGACTTTCCTTCTTCTGTGGCACACAAACATAATCCATCTCTGTGAGTCCATACTATATAATGCTGGCGGATGGGATGACGCTTTAAAAAGCACTCAAAATGAACACAACGGTCATCCATACGATGAATCAATATTTTAATGAAGCGATATGAAAGCTGAGAAAAATACCAATATTTTAAACTTTGTAAGATATAAACCATTCTTTCCAGCCAACTGTCATGCACAGGTTGATGAGTTCATGCATGGCACAAACATCAGCGTGTTGTGAAGCGTGACTGATTCAATGCGCTTGCATCAATATTAGTATCAATATTCTATTATTGATGTATGGCTGTATTAAAGTATATTAGAATTGATGTAAGAGTTTCACATTCGTATTTTTCTCTTACACATCTATCATTTTGTTAGAAATGGATTCATCAACTGGGGTTGTATGAAACACCGTTGTGTTCAATTTGAGCATCATCCCATCCATCTGCATTATGTGGACTCACAGAGATGGAGTATTTTTCTAAAAATAACTATTTGTGTTCCGTAAGGATGACTAAATGATGAGAGGATTTTTATTTATGGGTGGAATATCCCTTTAACATGCCTCATGCACTCTAGTGTTTCTTAAAAAAAATTAAAATTCATGCTGTGTATTATAAGCAGATAAAAATAAAGAACGGTGCATTTGTTTTTCTTTTCCATTACACTTACTTGCTTCTCTGCCTCCAAATTGATTTTGAATGGGTTCACTTTCCCCTCTTCTATAACCTGAGGTGACCACATTTTTGTTTCTGGCCTGCAACACATTTTATGCACACAGTTAGACACCATGTACTCGCCTCCTGTGAAATCATAAAAAAAAGATCAAAGAGCA